ATGGCAAGATGTGCATGTAAGCATCCACACTGCCAAATGACCCAGCATTCTGGTTTGTTCAGCCTAAATAGCTAAGATATTAAGACTTCTGGAAAGCTGACAGCAAAACCGTTCTATGGTGGGGGAAGCCTTTGGGGAACAGATTTTTAAAATAAATTGTTAAAAGGATTTTTTTGAAGTTGTCAGACTTGACAGCATACTATTAAATATTGAACAGTCTGCTCAGTAGCCATCAGGCATCATCCTTCTCACTGAGAAGTGAGTTAGTATTAAATCTAATGAAAACATTAAAGCAGTGTAACGACTATGCCTATATAAGTATACAGGGTGCTGCAAATAATGCCACAATCGTAGCACAACAGAAAGGTCAACTTGTGATTCATCTCAGTTTTCTTATAAGAAGTTTGTTGGCATGTGAAATAAAAGGTACTCTTCATCAGAGAGGCTTCTAAGCAATAGATGGCTATTTTTGGGGTGGTATGGGGAGAGGCCATGAATTTATTAAACCTTAACAGTATGATTTGGTACCCAATTTTACACCTTTGCAAGCATCTCCCAGCAGTCAAGTTGTTCCATACTTCGAACAATTCTGTAACTTACTGTGTGTCAAATATAGCCAACTTTGGCCACCGTCCTAGAAAAATGTAATAGCATCAAATGTTTAATTATTTTAACTTGAATTTTATCATCATTAGATAGCCCTAAACATTAGCCAATTATTTCTTTGCTATTCAATTTAATAATGTCAGCAAACTCACTGTGTATTTTCTTTTCGGTCAGATCTATTTCCTTGAGATGTTTTAAGGAAACAATTAACTACAAAACTAACAGCTGCAAAATTTCATGGATTACATGGACCAAGCAAATTTTTCACCATTACTGCCATTGCTGTTGAGCAACATACTAAGTAACTAGAAAAAGTTTGGTCTATACACACAGTAATGAAATACATTTATATAGGTAGAAAAACAAAAAAAATAACATTATGATGGTCATCCCTTGTTTTCAAGTTGCAATTTAGCCTTATCGACACTCGCTACCTCTCCCACTGTGGCTACATTTGGGATTCTAATGTAAGTATGTTGTCTGAATATAAAACAAATTAAAACTGAACTTCATCTGTCACAGTATATATCAGTTTGAGGATATACTTAAATGTTACCTTGGTGATTGCTAGAATACTTGCTGCTTAGGAGGCAATTTACATACGTACTGTACATCATACTGTAGTTCATATATGCATCATAAATCCATCAGAGCAGTTTTGCAGCTAATGCAAAAAGATTAATAGACCCTACTGAGGGCCTAACTAGGGTGCTGCCACGGAGTACTTAAGGCACTTTGCTCCAGAATCGGGAAGCAAATTTAAGCCTGGTTTTGGGCTCGTTGAAGGCTGTTTTCCCTCCACTTCTCTGAGCCCCATCCCTTCACTGCCCTACCCATCAACCCACACCTGGAGGTGCTGGGGCAACCAATTCAGCCAGACGTGCTAGTTACATTGCTTCTTTGGAATGCTGCTTATTACACTAACTGGTGTGTAGGCCCATTGGGGGCTATTCTGATTACTTTTGCATGTAAACTCCATGAAAGTCAAATGGCATGTGTATCATTACATACAGATACATGCAACATGCTATATAGATTGGGCAAGTTGAGTAAACCAAGCTCTCATTGACTTCAGAGATGCTAGAAAGAGCCTTGTCAGAATGCATAGTTTCTGTAAAACCTGTCATTTTTTTGGATTACCACACATTCTCACGTGAAAACATGCTATTATCTAGTTATGTTTAGGGTCCCAATGGTACAAAGGTACCCGTAAAATGGTGACTGTCACTGTATATGAATTTCTATATATATATATTTCCAGTGCGATAGCACAGGCTGTTATTAGTGTTGGGATTTCCATGGAACTCCATATAAAAAAAATACAATTTATTTAAGATACCGATACCCAAGTTCAGGTTTCTGGCTGTTAGTGACTTTTCTCCTCTCGGCGTACTGAAAGCCTTGCCACTCACATTTCACAGAGATGCTCACTTTCCATCTCCTGTATTCTATTGGGGTGCCTACTCCATTAAATTATCCATGGGATAATCTGGATGCTCTGATTATTCAGACCACACAATTTTCATCTTTTTTTTTTTCCTTTCTGGGCTACCATTTTTATTTATTTATGTATTTATTTTACAAAAAAATACCCTAGTTTCCCATCATTGTCAACTCTGTGTTCCTGTTGGTTAAAAATCTTGCTAACGCAAATAAAGAGATGGGACACCAAACTTAGAAACAGGGTTTACTCCGCCAACCCAGGAGCCAAATTCCTTTGACAGCTTGGTCATTTGAGCAGTTCTAACCACTCAAACTTAAGAAAAATTTCAAGAATCAGTGTGAGGGGCAAGCCCACTTACATATTCTAGGCTGGCAAGGCTGCCATGAATGCTGGCCAGGTAACTTGCAGCATGATTATCCCAAGTCACCAGATTGGGAGCATGGTTGCCCAGATATCCTGATCTGAACCTAGCATAGTTTCCTGAGAGTGCTGTCTGATTAAATGCTGGTGCATTTACTACTAGGCAGTCAGCCTCACTTGTGTGTTCTTCTGTGAACCAATCAAGTCCCTGTCACTAAGCCTCATTTTTCCTCCCCACCCCCCCGGGGGCTTAACCTGCTGCAAGTTCTCCCATGTGGAGTAGCAGGCTAAAACTGAACATTAAAGATAAAAATTCCCTGAATTATAGTTCCTAGGACACCACTAGCACTGTTTGTCTTTAGCTAGCACCTGGTCTAGTGTGGCCTGCTATGAAGATCCAGAGGCTCTCTCAAACATGTGGCTGAGCTAGACTTCACCTCCAAGCAAACTATATCTAACTGATTTTTCACTCACCACAAACTAAATTTCCCTGAGAGCAAGGCATTACACAGGGTTCAAAACAAGCATAGATTTAAAGTTTGACACCAACCTGCTCAATGTGACCTTTTCGCATCTCCAGCACAGCCAAGTTGTTGTAAGCTTCTGCATGGTCATTGTTACTGGCTAGGGTAAGCTTGAAGCACTGGTAAGCCAAATTCAGGTCCCCTATTCCCTAAAAATAAGTTTTGTTTGTTTACTCATCAAAAAGTTGAATGTTATATACATTTTAGGTTGTTTAGAAGATCGTTTAATCAGATTTGCTGTTGTAGAATAAAATATTAACTTCAATACAAACAAGAACTTTCTTACTAGTTGTTCTCGTGCATCTGTTCTTTCCTCCCTGTATAGAAAAAAGTGGTCTAGGAGTGCTGCTTACACTCTGGTTAGTGCAAACATCAATACCTCCTGTTCACTAATGTTTCTCTATATCATTAATCCAAGTAATAAAAATGTTAGGTCACCTTGAAACTGACACTGGCAAATACCTACATCATGGTATGTTTTAAATTCTAGGTATGTCAGACTCTGTATTTAAGGGTCTCCTCCTAATCCAACTGACTTTAGTCAGAGCACGGTCAGGGCCTAAATAGTGAACACATAATAACACAACAACAGCATTACTTGGAAGCGTATTCCAAGGCATTGTGTAACCCAGTTTGGTGTTCTCTTTCAAAACGAAAGGATTTTACCAAGAAAGCTGTGAAAGCTGTAGTCAATGAACATAGACCAGTAAGTAGCATAAACAATTTTGTTTTATATTTAGAAATGTATATTTAAACTGTAAATGTGTTAAGAAAGTAAACAGTAACAAATCAGAGGTACACATGTCTTTTCGTTAAGGTAGCATTGGGTGGTTCAGAGAGGCACAAGCTTTTGGAGGCAACAACCTACTTTGTCAGATGCTATGAATGGACTCTTCACTTTGGAAAGGAGAAGGCTGAGAGGGGATATGATAAAGGTCTATAAAATCATGAAGGGTTGTGGACCTAGTGAACAAGGAACTGTTGTTCACCAAGTTCCAGCATACTAGAAGTAGGAGGCATCTACTGAAATGAGTAGGTGACATGTTTAAAACTAACAAGAGGAAGTACTATTTTAGACAATGTGTAAACTTGTGGAATTCATTGCTACAGAAAGTGGTAGAAGCAGACAGCATTGCCAGGTTCAAAAAGGGACTGGAAAAATTCATGAATGAATGGATATTGAACAAAATGGTTGAAGATGTTTCCTTTGGCATCTCTAACCCAATAAATGGTGGCTGCCGGGGAAGGTACTGAAATAGGGGATAGACTGCTTTAGAGATGTCCAGCTCAATGCTTTCCCCCTGCAGCATCCACACCTGCCACTGTCAGAGATGGGGTACTGGACTACATGAACCGTTGGTCTGACCTAGTATGCACTTCTTATGTTATGACTTGCAGAAAGTAAGTGTTCTGGGGTTCTGCTTTCTTAAGTCCATTCATGGCACTTGATGAAGTAGCCTGTTGCCTGTGAAAGCTTGTGCCTCTCTGAACATCTGTCTCAGGTGCCACCATCCCTTGCCTTCTGCCTGACTGCAGACTAACACAGTTAACTCTCTCTCCTGCCTTTTCATACATTACTCTGAGTTCTCATTATAGTTCCATAAAAAAATATATCCTATAGCATATGGCATTATAAAACTCTCATCTCTGTTAAGAAGCAGCTGCATTTGAATTTTCTGTTTCTCAAGTGGAATGGCACTGGAACAAGTTCCATCAAATGCAGTTTTGTTTGAATAAGAGGTGTTTATTTCAGCAAGATGTATGCCAGGCTCTGAAAGAATGAAAAATTATCCTCTCTTTGGTGTTTTTCTGTGTTTTGAATTGATGGTAAACCCATAACTACTACGTGATATAATTTATTCTGTATTATAGTAGACTTTAAACTGTATTTTCTTTATATTAACACATTCAGTCTATCATACCAATTCCTGCTATAGCATTGTTATAGTTTTATAGAATGAAAAAACACTTAGAAGATATTTCAAATATTCATACCACAGCCACGTGTCCCAAATTGTACCAAACATCTGCTGCCTCCTCCTCATTTTCAGCTAAAGAAAGTGCACGTTCAAATGAGGTCAGAGTCATGTCATATTGCTGGGCATAGAAGCAACAAAGGCCCAAATTGTTGAAAAGTTGGCAGTTATAAACACCCATCTGCAGGAGTCGCCTAGTTTGAGAGAACATATTTGTTGTTTTATTTATTTTCTTAAGATTAATTGCATGAATTCCATTCAAAATAGAAAGACTCCTCCCTGCTCCTGCCCTCACCATGTCTCACTCTACCCCAACAGGATTAGGAAAGACTAAGTATATTACCTAACAATACTTGGAACTAAACCAAAAAAACTAACTTAAAGCACGTGTGAATTTTAAAAAAAATCTGCAGTTAGTCTTTTGCTTGGTAAAGATGTATCATTTCTGTCTTGTCCCTTCAGTGGACTTACTTTCTGTGAACAGAATCAGATTATGTGAATTTTTCTGTGCAAATTATAAAGTAGAACACTTTGGCTTTTCAAATATGCTGGTTCATTTGATTTTACTTTAAGTCATGAGGTTTGGCTATATCCTTGCCCTGATCCATCTTTTCTTTTGGCAGCTTTACCAGCTAAGCTTTATGAAGTTTTAACTGGCTGCAGTCGCTTCTTTTTACACTCCAGGGTGCTGGACCATGGTGTGTTTCAAAAGACCGTGCAACTCTTAATACAAGCTGTTATGTGCCTCCTGAATATGAATGGAGGTAAGAGTTGGATCCTATGGCTGCTTACAGAGGTTAATACCCCCTCCTCCCCCCCCGCAAACCCCAGCACTTTAAAATTGGCATGCTCTCATGTCGAGCCCAGCACATACCCAGAAGAGGCATCATATTAGTTGGCCTGGCTCACCCAACGTTTGTATAAATTAGGCAATTTTCTAGGGCTTTTTTGGCACTTTTATTTAATAGATGATTGAATCAGCTTCAGATAAAGGCGTCAAAAAGGCCCACTGAAGCACCTGATCGATACAGGCATTGGGTGAGCCGAGTCCAAGTAACGCAATGCCTCTTCCAGCAAAGCATGGGATTTTTTGGGTTTTTTTTTTGGGGGGGGGGGGGTGTTGAAATCTGTAAGCAGCCTATGTTTCCAGATCACACCATACTTTTTTAGTTCCTTCTCACTTTTTTTTTTTAAATCAGTCAGGTAATCAACAATTGTGATACTTTTGTTTTTTTTATTTCATATGTATAAAATGCTTAAATATAACTACCATATTATTAATATAAAAGATGTTTTAGAGTAGGCATGCTAGTGATTATTTTCTCTAGCTCTTCCACCCCTTTCTATTAATGCATTCAAGTATTTTTTCTTGGTGATATCAGTATTAAAAATATCATTCTTAATGCTTATCTAATAGATGCACCTGTAAAACCGCAGTGCTATCTCAGGTTGGTCTGAATAAAAGTGGTTACTGCCAATGCATGCAATGGCTTCCACATGAGTGTTGTCTTGTTTTAAGACATCTTTGTAGTACTCTGCAGCTGAGGAGATATTGTTCATTTCCTGAAAATAAAAAATTGCATTTATAAGATACTTATTTTGAAGCCACTAGTAATTTTTATTTGTACCACTTATGATAATCTTTATACCGTTTAATCTACTGAGTTCATTAGAGCTCGTAGATAAAAACACTAAAAAACTAGCACCCTTTAAGGCTGATTTCTGTGTCCTGTTCTCTGAACATAAAGCATAACCTACATTTTGACTTCATAGTAAAATATACACTGATTTAAATGAGTATAATGCCAGAAAACATTTTACTGATTCTAAATCATGGATTAATAGCACCCAATTGTGACAAGTACACTTAAAGGTACATCTGGTGTTTTCCAAAGTCTGTTTACAATAGTTACTGTGTGCAAATGCTGTTTATACATGCCATGGCAACTCCAGCATTGTATGATAGTTCCAGGCTGCAGGACTCATACTCTGAATTGTTTACCCAGGTATACCCTCTAAAATTGTAATGTTTTGTGGAATGGTTACTTTCAAAGTACCATCTTTTCTTACATATAACCCACAGTTTCCCCCTACCCCCTGTACCTAGCTGGTAGAAATTGGGGTGTGCACTATGTATAAAAAATGCTGTTCACTATGTGTTCAGAAATTTGGCAGCAGGAAAGCAGTGGCACCATTAATTGCTGCACCTCTAGGAGGTTTGCATTGCCAAATTTCCAGACTCATGAGGAACCCCTCAGGTCAGATGACATGACCCTGAACACCAGACTGGGCTGGTGCACAGGGTCAGTCCATGGCTTGACCCAGCACACTGCATCTGGGGCTGCATACCGCGTCAGACTGGACTCAGAACATTTAAAAATTCAGATAATATGGCCACAAAGACAATGGTACAACTATTATCTCAATTTCTCTCTCTCTAAAGAACTCAAAGCACTTTGAAATGGAATTAGATTTGTGCTTGGAGAACACAGGTGAGTTGGAAGATACCAGATACGGCTCTTGGACAAAGAATGCATGATTTCCTTCTGCACATTTATGTTTGATATAGCATCACTACCATCTGTCAGCGTTCAAGGTAAACTATATACATCAGTATTCCTGCTTTTAATGATTGCTTTCTGTTTATGCAAAATGAGATCTTATTATATCTACCTACAATGAAATAATTCTTAAAATTAGTTCTATTTAAAAAAACCCTACTATTTAAGCAATAAAACATTTACACTTTAGTGATTTTTCCTAACTTAATTAATTCAAAGCAACTTATGGTACTAATAAATGCAGCACAGATCTGCAGACTATCCTGCAGTTTAATCCTACCAACTGGCTACTGGTGACTCAAACATGTGTTTCTTCTGTTTTAGACCAATGAAATTTATGAACCATACACAAACCTGTCTGGAAATAAACCCACATTAAATCCAGTGATTTGTTTCTGTACATCCGAAAAGGAAACACATGATCCATCTGGTATATCTAACTACTGGAACAAAAAAACCTGCAAAGAAATCTTGATTTTCATAGACACTTTTTTTTTGTATAACATAACTTGTACTGTTAGCAACACAGCATTTTGTTAGTAATAAGCAGAGTGACTTTCTGATGACCATGCAGATATACTGAAGTCCTACTTCTTTTTTTTATTTAGGAAGCTAACCTTCTCTGTGTTAGAGGCCACATAATATGTACATACCTCATGGATTCTAGCAATCCCACAGAGGAGGGTCACTTCTCCAGGAAATCGATCTAATCCTTGCTTGAAAAGATTTAAAGCTGTCAAAGGTTGATCCAAGCGCAAATACACCTAAGAAAATAAAGATGTGTAAAACCATGCTGTCTAAATGCCATGACTTGTATGATTTTACAGGTCTCTGACAAAAATAAGAATTATCTGCTGGGAGGCAGACAAGCAGTTTTGTTTGTGTGTACATGTGCTAAAAGAATAGACAGAATACGTGTGTGTATTAATTTTGCGTGGTAACCATATGTTCAAATGAAGTTCATATAAGCATTAAGGGAAAAATATTGGCAATTTTCACTACATCTTTTACTACAAAAATTGCATTTGAGCTGCACAAGAGACATTCTCTTCTATAATTTAGAAAACTATCTACATTGTACACTGGTGCCACTTTAGAGATAGTAAATATTTACTTTAATACTAAAGCATTGTGTGATAGGATTTTTTGCCTTTTGAAAAAAACTGGTCTCCAGGAGTGTTATGAGTGGAAAAACCCCATGAGGTTCCGTTTTAAATTAAGCGCATTTAAAGTTCATAAAATGAGAGATCAACACGAATAGTTACATTTCTTTAGTCAACTAGAGCACAGCACAGAAAAGCAATATTTGCAAGCTTTCTTCATTTTGTGCCTACATGTCTTGGTCAGATTTAGACAAGATACTCTCTAGTAGTTCAGTCTCCCTGGCCCTCTCTATCAGCAACAGAAAACAAAGACAATGCTGACACATGCTAATTGTCATGAGTCCTGTAAATACTAGACTGAGGGCACTGACCGTTATTGCACAGACCATTTAAGTAGCAGTCAGATGGTGCAAATTTCAGATACTACTGCCCTTGAACCCATTTTTAAGTTGGGGAAAAAACCATTTTGTAAGTGAATCACTCAAGCTATCCAAATCACCAGTGGCACAACCAGTGCATATAGCTATGCCAATGATTCTTAACCAGGGTGCCATGAGTTCCTTGTAAGGGTGCCATTCAAAGCTGCACAATATTAGCACTGTTGGGTATAAAAACCACCTACACATGATTTACAAAATCAACCCATAAGACTACAAATAATGTCGAAAACATTCTGCCCTGTTCTGGTCTTTCTGAGTTCTTTGCAACAGAAGAACAGCTCTAGTATTTTTCTGCAGCCAAGAAATGACTGGAAGCTAGGTGCTGGCATTTTCTAAGGGGTGCCTTCAATCTAACACAATTGAGAACCACTGGGCTACACACATTTCAGAATGAAGCAAAATCTCTTGAGAAAGCTTCTTCTAGTGGAATGACATTTTAATATAATGCTTGATCCATCAACAATGGAAAATGAGCTGGCATTGCTGCTCTCATTTAACATAATGGTAAAGCAGTGGAGCAAAGCACCAATAGTGCATCATAAATTAAAGCACCACCACAACTAGCAACAACTCTACTTCAACAACTATACTTTTGGATATCCTGTACAAAATTTTGAGTGGAATTCGTTATTGTCACAATTTTTAATTAACTGTATACAAGATATGCTATTTAACACATACACAAAACAATCTTCTTTGAATAGTGATAGTGAGGCGATTTTAATGATGGCATACGTTTCTTCAGTAAGGGTCTGCAATTTTAAGCTGATCACTACAAAAGCAGTGGTAACTATAATACTAGAATCAGCGCAGTAAAGCTGATATTTGCCTAGCATAGTGGTTCTCAACTTCTTTAGACTCAAAGCACCACTCAACAGATTTGAAGAACTCCTTGATAGATTTGAGGAACCCCTGAAAAAATGCTAGGTCTTTGTTTTCACTCTTTTTGACTAAAGAAGAATTTAGCAATTCTTTTGTTGTAATGAACTTGGATTACAACAAGTGAGAATTTTTTTAACGTTATGAATTCCCATGTGAAGTCTCTGGGCATTTCCAGATGAGTGCGCACGTGTGGTATGTAACAGCACAGACCCATCTGTGGCACTGCAAACTGCACGTGCTGCTCATGCAGGCATTCACCATGCTGCTAACTTGCAGCGCAGCAGGGTTTTTTGGACACTGGGACATCCCAGTGTCCAAAAAACCCCTGCATCTGAAAAAAGCAGGGTAGTGCATGTGGTGGCAGCCTGGCCAGCTGGAGCCATGCTCCGTGCACTGGATCGCTGCTGCTGGAGCCCTGGAAAGCCCCCAGGACCCCAGGTAAGGCTGCTGGAGCCAGCCCCAGAGCTGGCCCCAGCCTCCCCTACCCCACCTGGGGAACTTGCAACATGCCAGAGCGCACGTACATGAGCATTCCTTGGGGGCAAGTAGCAGCAGCACAACTACGTGCTACTGCTGTTTGTCCCTGAGGAAACACACATGCACACTTGTCTGGATGTGCCCTCTGGGTTTATCTTGTGAATCATTTTTGTGTACCCAACAGTGCTCACTTTGTATGGTACCTTTGAAAGGATTTGGGGGCATCCCAGGATCAGCGTTCCCTCTAAGCTGTGCAGTGTGCATGGCTGTGCAGGCATGCCTGGCAGCATGGCATGAGCATACCTGTGCAGCCACACACGCCACACAGCTTAGATGGAACGCTGTCCAGGATGCCATGGCACCCTGGCTGAGACTCACTGGCTCAGCATCTCCTCTATTAAGATGAAAAAGTAATACCTGCCTGGGAGGAAAGGAATAGGAAAGAATAACACTGACTTTTTTTTTCTTTGCATGCTTGTCTAGACCCTGACAGTTGACACTGTCACTTGGTACAAAGTACACATTTTAAGCAGTAGGACACCAAGGGTGCCTATACATGAGCAGGGAGGCTGCTCCAACGTGTTGTAATTACTGATTAATCAAGTCTGCAGGAGCATGGTAATTACCATGCTCCAGCAGCCTTCAGAGTCTCATGTATCAGCATCCACACTTTGCAAAATGTTGGTGGGGTTGCTTTATCTAAACCTTGTTGAATGAAGTGCCCCCACCATCATTTTGAAGCGTGTGGACACCGATACACAAGATTCTGGAGGCTGCTAGAGTGCGGTAATTTACTGTGCCCCCACAGTAATTTAAAGTGGTGAACGAGCTTTAGATAAAGCACCCCCACTGCCATTTTGAAGTGCAGGGATGCTGATACACAAGACGCTCCAGGCACTTTTAAATACAGCAGCTCTCAGAGCCACTCTAATTATAGTCCCCCTCATCCCCCCTCCCAGAGTACATGTATAAATGCCCCAACAGTCTACTGCTAGCACCCTCCATCTGTGGATGTCACTGTTGTATCTAAAGCAATCTTGAAAACATTTGTCATAAAAGTTGTCAGTTTCAGCAGTTTCTGATGAACATCTGCATTAAGTCTCAAACTATAAAAAAATGGCCCCATTTTGTTTGTCACACTCATTTTGCTTTCTTTAATTAACATTTAAGATTATTTTATTACTTCTTTTACCAACTGTTTCTTACAAATCAAATCTCCACAAAATGCTGCAGAAAAGAGAATACATGGCAGCAAAGTATAACTCTTTAAACAGCAAGGGTATAGGGTATGGGTTGGTTGTTTTACTCAAGCATTTGAGAAATGAATAATTTATATAAGTCTTCCCCAATAAGTTCAACATGGCATACCATATCTTCATATATCCCTTAACTTACCATATGATGATGATTTTAGACTGGATTTTTAAGAATCAATTATGTACTAGGCTAGCTGTGAAGTCTAGCTTTCTTCTATAGCATGAGAAAGACTGTATACCTGAGGGATCGATATTTCCTGACATATTCAGCTTTTCTCTACATAATGATTTTGAAGTCTGACAAACTGGGTTCTTCTATGACTGACAGGGAGCGTTTAGTTGTCCCCACTGCCTCCCCTTTCTCCCTCCTGAGGTCTGAGAATGCCTGTGTTTTGATGCATTTTCTTTAACCTCTGCTAAACTACCCTGTCTGTCCTTTAAACAATCATTCTCAAGAGTCTTTGTTTTCACCTTTTTTTTAAGTTAATAGCTGTTGCAACTTACAGAACCATTGAAATGTAACTGATAATGTTGCATGTGCCAGAGTTTGGAGAAAATCTGATGCAAAACTTTGGTAAACTGCCTCACCCTTTTCCATAGCTATTAGGTCTGTGTGAAGTTTCGGTCTCTGATTCAATTCAGTGGAGATTCAGTCTGATTCAGCGGCCGAATCTCTGAATCCAGCTGGAATCAGGAGACCCTTTAAGCTCTCCAAATCAAATCGGAACCCTCTGAATCGATTTGGAGAGATTTGACGATTCGGTCATAGACGCAGATTTAAATGTTTTTTCTACATACCTCAAGGTACCAGGCGGTTCATGAACACTGAGATGGTGGGGTGGATGGAGCGCCCCAGAGGAGCGCGGGGGGTCCCCAGCACACTCAGCAGTGGACCCAGAAGTGGACCAGAAGCACTTTCGGTCCTCTTCTGGGTTCACCGTGGAGTCTGCGGGGGACTCCCCCCACAACCTGGCAACTGGTGCTTTCTGGGTATGGGTGGGCACCCAGGGTCTCCCTGTGGCCGATTGCTGAGCTGGGGGGGGGGGGGGGGGGGGGGGAGCACACGGGCGGCCCCCCCGCACTCCTGTGGGATGCTCCATCCACCCTACCATCTCAGCATTCACGAGCTGTGCCTGGTACCTTGAGGTATGTAGAAAAAACATTTAAAGCTGTGTCTATGGTCAAATAGCAGATTCTCCAAATGAGCATCGAATCTTCAGATTTGGATTTGGCCGAATTGAATTGGGACAGTGATCTGAATCAACTAACTGAACTACTGTCCCCTGATTCAGGCCAAATTCTAATCCAAATCGAATACGGCCTGTTTTGCACACCCCTAATAGCTATGTATTCAGGGCTTGTTTTCTCTGCATTGAAAGGGTGAACTGTAATTTAAGTTTTACCTCAATCCAATATGTATCCAGATACAATTGTAGGTCAGCTATGTTGAAGAAGGTGGGCGTCAAGTGCCGCTGCTAAGCTAATGCATTGGGGATGCAGTAACTTGAGTTACGACAGCTTGTCAGCTGCTAATCCAATCACTCCCCCAATCTACTCATCCAGAGTAGCTCACATATTTTGTAGTGCATCTGAACTCTCTTGAACTCGAGTGATCGTGCTGTAGAAGTATGGTAAAACATCACTTTATGAAGAACAAAGCAATCCCTCTCAGAGTGCTTCTTTTGGGTACACCGTTAATGGCTTGAATAGGAGCAAGGCACCTAATTTCATTCTTCTGAAATTGAGTGGGGAAATCAACTTTCAGATAATAATTCTTGTGTTTAGACTGTGGCACTTGTTCTGCTAATATATGACTACCTTTCCTTTGACAGAACTTTCAGTTTTAAGGGTTTTGACTGCTACCAGTAAGTGAGCATATCCAGTCTCTGAACAGTATGCAAGAGCTTAGGACAGGTATTGAAGGAAAGAATAATCAAGCATACAGAAAATGAAGAAAACACAATATGAGTTTATCCAAGGAAGAGTTTGAATAACTTAATAATCTTATATGATAATATAACTGACTTAATCGATAAGGACAAATGTTGTGGACTTAATTTATCTAGATCTGAGTAAAGCTTTTACTGCCATGCTTCAGGGGGAAAAAAAAGCTAAACTGGAGAGGACAGGGATCAACACTACAAGGAGTGTTAGCTTAAAGGTGGAGGAGTTGGCTCAAAAGCGGTCTACAATGGGTTATACAGAAAGATGATCTGTGTGAAAGTAGAGTGGTTCCCAGTGGCATTTCTCAGGGATCAGTCTTAGTACCTCTCTGGTTTTAACATGATCATCAGTGACTGTGGTACTGGAACTTGATGTTCTCATAAAAAGTGTAGATAATAGTAAATTGAGGGGTACTTCCAATACAGAAGAGGACCAGTTTATTACATAGGAGGATTGTGGAATCTTGTGGACTAGAACATTAGGCCTGGCAGATGTTAATCATGTGATGGGATCTGAGGAATTTTATTCTGGATCCCAAAAATTGCATGTCTTGCCATGCCAGATGTGCAAGGAAGCATGATTTTTGGGATCTAGGATAAATTCCTCAGATTTCATCACACGTCTGCCAGGACTTGGGTGAGTAGCTCCCTGTTGCAAAACTGCCATATGCTGGGACCTTTAAAAGGTATTTGTGCAGCCCAAAAGCCTGGCTACATATGTGCCTTTTAAACATGGTCATGGGCAGGGAGCTCCCCAATCCCAAACTCCCTATGCATTCAAACTTTCAAAAAATATATGGGTAGCCATGTCGCATGTGTTCCTTTTTAAACACGCTAGCCTTAAAACTTTAGAGCCAACTGAGGAAACAGATATCTGGCTCCTTGACTGACTATAGGATGACCATAAACCAACAGTGTGATACAGCTGTGAAAAAGGAAAATGCAATTGTAGGATGTATTAAGCAAGCTATATTCAGGAAAGACAAAGAAGTACTAGTACAAGGCACTGGCAAGACCCTCTATTCAGGGTACTGTGTGCCACTGATCAGCAGTGATCAAAAAGATTAACTTTAACTGGAATGGTTATAAAGAAGGGACACTAATATAGTTAAGACAAAAGAGACTTTTTCTTATGAACACTAAAGTAACTTGGCATGTTTAACTTTACAATGGGGCTGGGGTTGTGCAGGTGCTAAGGTGCATGGTTGACAGCCCAGAGGTCACAAGTTCCAGGCCACAGCAGAAATGCTCATGGTGCAGCCGTGTCAGATTTCAATGACTCTGGAAATTCTGCTAAATATCTTGTCACAAGGACACGAGGAAATAAATTTAACAATAATGGAGATTGAGAAGGAAATATGATTTAATTTTTTTTTTACATTCATGGAATGAATAATAGGAAGGGAAAAGAGCTTTTAGGGGTAAAAAAAAAAAAACAACTCAAGATCAAATAGCTAAAAATTGGCTATGCATGCATTTTAGATTGGAAATTAAAAGATTTCTAACAGTCAGAGAAGTGAAGTTTTGGAATGGTCTTCTCAGCAAAGTAGTGTGGGGCCATGACTACATTAAGAGTGATCTCAATACGTTTATGGAAGGAGTAGTTTGGCAGTACAGGGAATTCTTGGTTCAACAATCAATATGCATGATATGTGGAATCAAGTAATTGCAATCCCCATGTTGGAAATAATTTTCTCTTCATTGGGTGTGTCTGCATATGTATTTAAACATGACTAAATTTAAATGCGCATCAAGCTAATGCTCATTAAATGATTTTTGGCAGGTGTCTACATGTGCAGGGACTTGGCACTGAAGTTAGTGCCAAGTCCCTGCAGCCCCGCTATGTGCGCCTAGTGGCTGGGCAGACCCAGCACTAAAGTTAGTGCTGGGTTGCATCTACATGTGCATGAACGTGCTTTAACGAATCATGCTTAAATTTGATACCTGTATTTGCAGGTATCAAATTGAGGCGTCATTAGCCCAATTTCATTATTTTAAATGCACATTAAGGGTGCTTATGTGTATGTGTGTATCTGTAATACACATTAAATTCGGCTAATGTGCATTAACATGTCTTGTGTAGACGCACCCCTATGGAAAGGATCTGGGAATCCCATGTTTCAGAGTTCTTGCTGGTTTCCAGTTAGCCATTTTTTCCACCTCATGAATGTCACTGGATTTTATGTTGTTGTCCACAGGGTGTGAGATAGGGACAAGGTCCCCATCAACCTTGCGCCTGGCGGGTCTGTGCTGTGAGGGAAAAGCCTCGTTATTTCCGCAGAATCGGCCAGCAGCAATTGCCCAGTTCTTGCCTGCTACGTCTTGATGTAATTTGTAGATATTGAGAGGTGTTCTCCTACTGAAAGTATGCTACAAGGACATTAGGCCTGTCCCTCCTAGGGCTCCAACCTCCCCTTGTACCCCAGCCAAATGCCAACCAGCTGTTATGATATTGTGGGAGACTACCATTTGTTAACAGATGTTCTACGGTTTTTCTCTTCCTTTTTCCTAGGCTCAGGATCTCTTTCTGTGCTCCTTCTGGATGGAGAGGTCAGGGTTGATCCAGGAGAATATCAGGAAAATATCACCACTGGAGCAAAAAGGGAACTGCAACCATCATTGGGCAGGACAGCCCAGGTAAGTATTAGTCATTGACAGCATTCAGAATGCTATGCGCTTTCTGTTCTCTCTCTCTCTCTCTTTCTTTCTCTCTTTTTTTTTTTTTTAAAGGTACAGATCTGTTTCCCCTGGGCTGAAGAACACTTCTTGTCCGGACACAACCCACAGATAAGAACAAATTAAATTGAAGAAAAAAACAAAAGAAAACTAATGGCAGATAGATGGTTTCTTTGCTCCTACAGCGATTCAATAACACTTACATGGTTCAGGGTATCTTCCCCTTTCACGATCAGGCCCAAAATCAATCAGTTCCCACCCACTATATTATATAATCATAACTTAAATGCAAGAGAAAAAAGGAAAAAAAACCAAAACAACCTTCTGTCAGTCTGAGAGGCTTGCAGCTGCTCCAACTTTTCCTGGTTCTCTGGTCTCCCTGTTCAAAGGACACTGCAGAGTGCAGCTCCCGTAGTTAGAGCTCCTCCCAGTTCCAAGACCGGAATCTGGTCTTCTCCCCATCCCTTGGGTTCGCACCGCTGGAGTTCAGATGGAGTAGACAGAACCTGCCTGATTTCCCCATGCATCTTCTCTCCCTTCCAGTGCAGCTCCTCTACCAGAAGTAGGGCATCGGGTGCAGGGAACTCCAATTTGGAAGGACCAGTGACGATGGCATTCTGGCAGCTGTGGCGTTCCTTGCATAAGCAATGCTTCCTGCTGGTCTGGTAAGTTTTCCCAGTTTTCCTCCCTTTTCTGTGAAGAGGTGGAGGAAGCCTCTTCACAGTTGTACATTTTTTTGTTTTTGTTTCCAGTCTTCTTTTGAATCATAGGGACACTGGTCTAGCTAAGGCTATGGGGGTTTGATGGGGACATGCTGAAGGTCTTGCAGGTACTTTGAAAACCCAGAGGTTCCTGGTCAGAAATTCTTGCTCTTCTGCTAGTTATACCAATTAACAAATTTGGTGTCACAAAGTATTTCCCCCCCTAGGCCATGTTCTTGCCTCCCCTGATTTTAGCTATGGCACGTAGCATGTTCTTGGTGTTTCTCGTTTTGTGCCTTGTGGTTGAAGGTTTGAGGTGACAGTTTTGGAGAATCCTTGGGTAAATGGTTGCCTATGAATGCAGGGAACGGGACTTAGTGGCCCAAAATGGCCCCTTCCAGACCTGTCTTTTGATTTCATAAGTGAAATCAATTTCTAGCTTCCTTTAGTTACATTTATTGGTTTCCTAGGAGACTGCAGACAGCTACACTGTTTTTATGTATAGCAGCTCCCATCATCCTGCAGCTATAGAGTCCTGATTGTTATTTGTTGTGGAAGAGAACACAATAAGGTAGCAGAGACAGTATCCTTAGACTTGTACATTCCCCAAAGAAATCCTGTTTAGCCCTCAAAACCAGTACTTTTTTCCCCCCAAGCACTCTCTTAACACAAACTGTCAAATCCACATATATGTCACAATCTAAACCAGAGATTTATTTTTCCTACACCAGTATTTTATCATATTTTGATGTTAAAGTATCAGAATAAGGCAAACTAAGGGAAATGCATAATAAAACCAACATTCTTTAAAAATAAGCTTCATGCTAACATAATTTTAACTATTTTCTGGAATGCATGTCTTAAAAAAAAACCCTCTCACTCTAATTTGGGCTAGTTCTGATGCTTAGCTTAAACTTGTTCTGACAGAAGACTGGTTTACTATTTTAAAAGGAAATTGTAAAGCTATTAAATCAGTGTGTGTGTGAAGTTAGACCTTCTCAGCCTGCTGGCCCTTGGATTTTCAGAGATATATTAGAATTTAAATTTATTTTAAAACAAGTACATTCTGTTTGAATTGGAAAAGTCTACTTACTTTTGCCAAATATAGTATTGTATCTATCATGTCTTGTTGCTTGAGAGCCGACTTAAATTGTTTTTCAGCTTCGCGATATAATCCTAACCTAAGAAATGCATAGAAAATATTTTTTTTTGTTCAAAATTAATAAAATAAATTATTAAGCAATAAAGTTCTATAGGTTAACACCATACATGGGGTTTAATTAAAATGCCAAAGCTCACATTCTGAATTGGTTTTCTTTAAAAGTTCACATTATTCTCACATACATCCACTTAAAAAATTTAAAGGATGCCAAATCAAGTGTTCAAATGTTACGAAGCGGGCAACGAAGGGTAACTGTGAAAGCTTAATTCAATCCCCATGCCTGGGCGCACCTGTTTTATAGGCAAATTATATGACCTCATACTATATTTTTCCACAGGGCTCCTGCCTCATCCAGGGCAGAATGGACTGTACTCACTTAACAAGCAGTTTATTTAATATCTTGTTTTCTGTTCGTTGTTCAGAGCATGGTCCCAAGCTTTATTTATTGTAAACTGTTCAAACCCTGCTCTGAATACAGAATTACTAATTTCCTTGTGGACTTTTTCTATGGCGCGTAGCATTCTAGTCTCCAAGTTCTTTACAAACATTAATTTATTTTTCTCCCCAGCGTGGTAAAATATAGGGGTATTATCTTCTTCTCTGCAGATGGAGGAACTGACAAATTTTGTTTGTCTAATTTGAAAAACCCAGGACTTGATATTTCATTATATAGCACTTCATTTGTTCGATGTACATTTCCTGTTTAACATTAGTTGCAGCTGAGTTTTCAGCACTTTTCCAAATGCTAGAGAGTCTCAGATTAGGTACCCAGGAACACAGGGTTAGCAATCGGCTCTGAAAAGTTTGTTGTAGCACATGGGAATTCTGTAGTACAGGGAATCCAGTTGTGCAGGGCAGGATTCACCTAAAAGGAGATCATTATTTATCTCCTGCAATCTTCTGGCTTATTTATTTTTCACATTCCAGTCATTTCAGCAAATAAATCAGGGATCTTACACACAGGTCTTCTTCACTACATGGATCTAACTCATCCCAGAGCAAGTCTATCTTTTGTGCTACATGAGACAAGTCTTGAGGCAAAAAACAGTATGCAACCATGTAATACCATGTTATAGAATACACATAGTAACATATGATGGCCAAATTCAAGAGATACAGTCAAGCGCTAGACTTTACAATCTTAACATAATTTGTGTGTGGGTATGGGTGTTGTAGGGGGGGTTTCGGGGGGAGGGAGAAGAGGAGGAATGTGTGTTTATTTTTAGTTTTTATTAAAAAGCAGACCAAAGAAGGATGTCTTGCATTTGAGAGCTTGTCTAACTTTATCTGCGCTATACAGTTGGTCCAACAAAAGATATCACTCTAAGAAATCCTTGCCTCTAATTGAAAAAACAAACAAATTCTGTCATGTCATCATGTTGACAACCAGATGGCTCATCATCATTTAGATCGGGGTGGGCAAAACGTGGCCCGAGGGCCGGGTGTGGCCCTCCAGACCATTCTATCTGACCCGTGGGGCCCCTAAATAATTTAGAAAATTAATATTAATTTGATGGCTTGATGACACTCAGTAAGTGGCCCTCTACCCAAAATAATTGCCTGCCCCTGATTTAGATCCTTAAGCCCATTGCTCAGACCACTGCCACTTGAACTGCATGAACAACAGGCAGCAATAGTAGGTTGTTATCCTCTGTGTAAACCTGCAGTGTACACAGATGGGGCAATCTGCTGGTACGTTTCACAGATGCCAGCTGACTGCAGAGTAACAGTGAGGCTCGGGAACTTCTTATTCCATTCCAGGGGACTCTAGTGATCACTGACTTTCCTAGGTTCCCCATCTTCTCCTTTCCCTCCAACCTGTCCCAAGTTCTATCTCTATCTCTGTTTCCCCTTGTTGGCTCCTTATCCCAATCCTATTCTCTCATTTCAGTCTCTGGTGTCCTCACTTAACCTGTCCCAGTTCCCCTACTCCTAGCCCCTCCTCTGATCTTTTTCTCTTTCCCCCATGCCCATGTCACCTGGTCTTCCTTTCCAAGCTTCTTATTCAATCAGTGGCTTTCCCCTGACCAACTTGGCTGCTTGTTCCAATTTATTTGCCTTGCCAGTTCCAATTCTGTTCCAGCTGTTGCCCTTAGGCTCCCTGCTTGATCTCAGTTTTCACTGCTCCCTCTCTCTCCTTGCTTAGCTAAGGTGCGATGTACCCAGTCCCAGTTCCACATTTCCACCTATCATATTTCACTTACAAGCTTGCTCTTCATCCCTTCATGCCTTACTCCAAGCTACCCCTCTACTCCAGGTCCAGCTCTTATACCATCAGCATTTGAATCTGGCAGTTTCTTCTTCCCTGCTGCCAGCAGGGAAGCAATCAAAAGAACTACAGAGACAGTAGCTCTGCTCTCAGTTCCAATCCCCTTACCTAATAAATCTCAAAGCATCCCAGAGCTGAACTATAGGGAAAATCCTACTTGGGCTCCTGCAATGTTGTTAGAATCCTGGACACAAATCACACTCCCATCAAATGTCAAGTCCCAGCCCCAAAGCATGCTGAAGCCTCTCGAAGAGAAGCATTCAAGAATGTTTTCCCCTTAAGGGTAAACTCATCTTGCTCTCAGAAATTGCTGAATAGTTTGTTTTGTTTGTTGTTGGGTTGATTTATTTTTTGGAAGTGGGGGGGAGGGGAGATCCATCTGAGGTGAATATCCAGTGTGGAATGATAACGCCCAACTTAATTGTTTGACAAGGCAAGATTATCTCCTGCTCTCTCAGTCCCCTACCAAGTATAACAAATTAAAGGAGGAAACTTAAACATAAATTTGACAGTTAACTTTTCCACCACATATAAGCAGTATAGCAAGGATTTCACCAAATCCTTAAAGGCTGGCAATATAATCTCATGTCTTCTTACATTTCCCAAACTTCTAATGATGTGCCAAAGAAACAACATTTTAAAGCTGAGTTTTCAAACATGGCTCCCAATTTGGGGATACATACTGAGGCTGGCTTGCCCTATTTCTCTCTCAGCCTCTGGGGTACATATGACATATAAGCCTGGAACAATTTTTCACTTGAAGAGCTTTAACTTATCTGCCTTCACAGCTATGATATTTTATTACTATATAGTAAGATATTTCATAGTGATCCTTAAGTGGCATAGCAACTATAAAGCATCACAAATGAAAAGGACTGCATCACTTCTACTGTTGTTAAAGTAACTTTATCACTTCCACATTATCCTCTTTCCTCCCGCCAGCCAAACAGTATGTACATTTAGGGAGCAAAGAAATATGGCAGATCGCTATCATTATTATTCTTTGTGCTGCAAGCATATAAATTGTTTGGATGATTTACCCTCCCCAGCCCACTTGATAAATATAATGGAAGTGACAAATGATCCCCTCCTAAGCCCAATTAAAACAACATCTAACCTACTCTCCACAAAATTTCAAACAACATTTAATGATAATGAAAATTTGTATTAGTTTGGGCAGCTGAAACAAAGCAATGGGCTTAGGCATACAACGTGGAATTTTAAAGGGCTTTGTTTTCCTGACTAGTGCCTATAAACTACTACTTTAGCCCCTACAAGATTTATGAGATAATGCTTTGACTATGCAGCATTCAGCAAGACACCCGCATTTCTTGCGTGTGAAATATATACAGCTGCTCTGGAAGAAGTCAGGGGGGCTTCAACACCTGTTTGACTTTTGGAAGAGCTTAAAATAAACACTTCACACTGGATCCTCTCACCAGGTTAAAGTCTTCGTTAGAAGTTAATTTCTCAGCCTGAAACTGCAATACTAGTTTCAATCTATTGACTTTGTGTAGCATTATACCAATAAATCTTTGCACTTATTTAAGTGCTTTTCATTTGAGGATGTTTATGCAAGCTAATTCCCTAATTCCAATGCATAAAATATTGGTGTTTTTGTGTCATCAGGCATTTAGGTAAGGCCTTCTTGTTGATTAAAGATGATACATTTTATTTGTTGTCAACATAGTGCTTCTTAATTAAATGTATATTCTATTACTTAGCCTCCCTACTGGATAGATACATCAATTCAGTCTTAGTTGGTCTAAATTCTGAGTTATTTTGCCAGCCCATTCTATAGCTCCACCACTGGCTGCTTCACAAATTGGCTTGAATATTAGGAAATCTTTTAAATACTGTTCAGTGCAAGGAACAACAGTTCAGGTCCAGATGGTTTAAAATCCATAATCACATAAGAATTGAAAAAATGACTTACCTGTAGTAGCATTTCCCAATCTGAACTTTCCACCACCAGTCCTTATATTGTGCATGTTCTGTGGCAAGTGCTGCCAAATCTAAAGCCTTTAAAGAAAGCCACACACCTTAAAACAGACATTTTCAGCTTTGAACAAGGAAAACTAAAAAGACAAATGTTATCAGTAAAGAGTAACAAAATTAAATAATCAAAATAAGGTGTTTTTTGGACAAATATCATTGTCAAACTGAGGAGGGAATGTTATTATTTCTGCTATGCCATGTAGTCTAAAGCATAAACTAGTTGAAAGGATTATCTCTCCATATGGCAGCATATAATCACACATGCTTCTTAGCATTTAAATAAGGTTGAAAAAAAGATAGGGAACACATTTAATCAGACTGCTGAACTGCTTCTTTTTAGACTAAAGTATTCCCCAAGTATGTGTTTATATATATTTTTTAGGCTTTCTGTCATCCTTGAGCAAAATTTACTGGAACAGATTTTTTTTTCTTTAAATCCCAATCTGCTTCTTTTTTGGGATAATACACAAATGACCCATTTTTGGTGATGTAGTGGGCCTTTTCCACCTGGATCATTAGAGTAGTTTAAAGTACTGCAGTAAGAAATGTTGCTTCTTTTGGACTTTTTATTGCTTGTGATTAAATCAGGAACTATCAGGAATAGTTCTCTCCACACAAGTCTCCACCATCAGATAAGCCTAAAATCAGAATCTCCACTAGATAGTCAATGGACTGTGCTTAAACAGGAGCCAACAGAATGATCTTATTGCCAGGGATGAAATAACTGAAAAGCTAGAGTTTTATCTTTTTTTCCTATTTTTATTCTCTTCTTTCAAGACATGATATAGTGTATTGAAAGAATCAGTGTGCTCTCCACTGACAAGCTAAGAGATAAGTAAGGTACAGGTTTTTTTTAAATTCCGTTTTACACCAAACAAAAGGTGTCAGAGAGTATCAACTACCCTTTACTCGCTACTACTGTTATTGCAATAACATCAGAAGCAGCTTAAAAAGCTTTTAAGCAACATGTTATAAAATGGATATATTAAGTGGTTAATCTGTAAATGTGTCCATATTTGTCTGGCTCAGAGTTGATTTGATCTTTTCATAAATATTTCTCCAGAACCACACAAGTCAAAAAAGGAAAATAACTCATGGGTTATCTAATCCACCACCACAGGGTCAGTCAGTGCAGTCCTCCAACATATATGCGGGCATTTTTGTTGTTGTTTTGTTTTTTTGTTTGCCATGAACGATGTATATATAGATCAGGTTAACCAGGTCATTTTAAAGATAATATAGCCTGGATATTTGAAAATTAGGCTGACCTAGTGTCAAAGGTCTCTGATTATTTTCCCAGTTCTTCAGTTACCAAAACAAGACATTTCTGATGGCAATAGGTCAGTTCTCCAGATGATGAAAGTTTGACATAGCTCAATAAAATCAATGCAGCTATGAACATTCCTCACAAATTTCTGGCCTGGCAGAAACAGTTCTTGGGAAAAACATGACTTGCTTTACCTAATAAAACATGTTCAAGCCAAATAAGTTATCACATTAATCAACTCCTGAACAATTATCAGTCACAAAAATGGTGTCAGCCAGGCAACACACAGACAGAAACCTATGTCCATGTGGAACTGATCAAAAATCACCAGACTGCCCTGAGAAGCTTAAAATTAGTCTTTATCCAGCACAAACAGTGGAGTTCTCCAATATTTGTCGCCATGGATGTAGTCTTTCTGGACTTCAGCAAGGCCTTTGACACTGTCGACCACCCCATCCTCATTAAAAAACTAGGTGACTGTAGCATCGATGCCTACACGGTCAGATGGATTGCGAATTGGCTGAAGGGTTGTACTCAGAGGGTGGTGGTGGACGAGTCATATTCGACCTGGGGGGAAGTGGGCAGCAGAGTCCCCCAGGGCTCGGTCCTTGGGCCCACACTGTTCAATTTCTTTATCAGCGATTTGGACAATGGGGTGAAAAGCAACCTGTTCAAATTTGCTGATGATACCAAAATTTGGGGTGAGGTGGGCACGTTAGCAGGGAGGGAAAGACTGCAGAAAGACCTGGATAGGTTGCAGGGACGGGCTAACAAAAACAGGATGCGTTTCAATACTGACAAGTGCAGGGTGCTGCACTTGGGCAGTAGTAACCAGCAGTACACTTATAAGATGGGAAACTCCCTTCTTGAGAGCACGGAGGCAGAAAGGGATCTTGGAGTCATCATTGACTCCAAGATGAACGTGGACCGACAATGCAAGGTCACGGTCAGCAGGGCTCACCGGACCTTATCGTGTATCCACAGGTGCATCTCAAGTAGGGCCAAGAAGGTGATCCTCCCCTTCTACGCGACACTGGTCAGGCCACAGCTGAAGTACTGTGTCCAGTTCTGGGCACCCCACTTCAAGAGGGATGTGGACAACACTGAGAGGGTCCAGAGGAGGGCCACCCGCATGATCCAGGGACTGCAGGGCAGACCCTACAATGAGAGGCTATGGGACCTGAACCTGTTCAGCCTTCACAAGAGAAAGCTGAGGGGGGACCTGGTGACCGTCTATAAACTCACTAGGGGGGACCAGAAGGGGTTGGGGGAGACCTTGTTTCCCCTAGCGCCCCCCAGGATAACAAGGAATAATGGCCACAAGTTGTTGGAGAGTAGGTTTAGATTAGACATCCGTAGGAACTACTTCACAGTTAGGGCGGCTAGGATCTGGAACCGACTTCCAAGGGAAGTGGTGCTGACTCCTACCCTGGGGGTCTTTAAGAAGCGGCTTGATGCCTACCTGGCTGGGGTCATCTGAGCCCAGTTTTCTTCCTGCCCCGGCAGGGGGTCGGACCTGAAGATCTACAAGGTCCCTTCCAACCCTACTTCTATGATTCTATGAGTCTATGATTTGTTCACGGCCTACCAGTAGGTCACTGCAGCTATAATAATGAATATGGGGAGGGACCTTTGAGAGGAAGTGCAAAGCACACACTGAAAAGAGAAAGGCCAAGGGCCAGATGTGTTTGACACCCTTTGAAGCATGCAAACTTAACCCAGACTATTCAAAATAGGACACCACTAACAGCAAGAGAGGAATTGGTTTGGATGGTTAAGGGAAATGTTGTAACTAGAAAAAGGGATTGAACTTAAAACTGGATAAAGCACCATAGATTTTTTTTCGGATATTTACCCTTACTGTAAAATCTACAGGTTCTGAGATACTGCTCTTATAGAATTTTTTCAACCTGTCTCCCTGCTTGTTATTAATCCAAGCACTATGGCACACAAAAGCAACTCAGTTTTTTGGAGCACATGTAAAAGTGCCCTATAGTATTACTGTTCTAGTTTAGTTTCTGATAACAGAAGTATAAATATATTTTAGTATATTTGACATTATACATTTAATAAGGAGTTTCTTAAAACTACAGGTTTGCCATCCTATGAAATAAGGTAATATTAGATGCTTTGGCACAGCTGAACACCAACAGACATGACAGTAAGATTTAGGAACAATAAAAAAACTGTATAGATTACTTACGTTCTTAACGTCATTTTCATGGTGAAAAATGTATTCAAACAATGCCTGTCAGGAAAACATTTAAGTCATTGTCATATCTGAAGAAAAAAGTTAATACCTTTATATAATCAACACCTTGGTTTTTGCAACTGTAATAGTTACCAAAGAATTTTCTAAAATAGCAAACACATTTACATATCACCACTTTTTGAAATATTAAGTGGACTTCATGAATTAGATAAAGCCTCTGGATGTGCTGGACAGTCATTACAGAGATCTTGTGTTTGTGATTCCTACTACATTATAAAATGACTGGGGTTATCAATATGTGATTGTTTTCCATCAGACATTTTTAAAAAGTTTTGGAATTTTAAAAGTGAATGTAAAAATGAAATGTTGTGATTCCATAGTTATGGTCTTTCAATATTTGCCTTAAGGGGTTGATCCTGCAGAGATTTCTATTTGTGCTTTAATTTTGCATGCTGCAAGTAGTTATGAGGCAATAGAATTTAAGCAAAGGCACAAGTCTGTTAAGGACCAAAGTCCATATTTTCTCAGTTTAGAAAAGAAAAAAATGACTTTTAAAACTATAAGTGCTTAATATCCAACAAATGTGGAACCTGGAAGTCAAGTGTATCTGATTTCGGCTTGCAAATTACCTCCAGAAATAAGAATTTGAAATGGAAGTCTGGCTAACAATGGACCAAAAAGATGCATAAACCAGGAAAGAATCTCTCTCAATCTCCACAGCTACATGGATGATTTTATAGTGTTAGCAGAAATGAAAATGTATTCTTGTCAGAAAAAAAAAGAGCAAAAACTGTACATACATAGGGACGCTATTTGGCTGAGTAAAAAAAGTCTCTTTACAAAGTCAATTTCCTAAAATTGTATCCCTTCTTTTAAACAAACCTTTCTTTAAATGTCTTACAGATCAGAAGACAAAGGAATTAAGAGTTCAGGGGAAATCCTCACGTACTACGGCCTCTGGAACTGTCCACTGATCTCCCATTTGCTTAGACAATTGCAAAAACAGATTTTTGTACAATAATATATCAGTATTTATATATTATTCAGTTGTAAACTGTAATGACTGACTTCTTTAGCAGATTTAAAGGCAGATACTTGTCAGATGTGCAGTGTTCACCATTCTCTCTCAAAAATGGACTGGAAATATAACTAAAGACCGTTCATCTCTGGGTCGCTAGCCAGTATAACTCAGGTGGGAAAAGAATAAATACGATGACCTTTTGGTGACTTTCACAAAATGAATTATATGGCTCAGTCTAATTCTTTACAAACAAGAATTCCCAGAAAAAGACTGCTAACAGAAATGGTACTTGATGTAATGACTTGTCTGAAAGATCACTCAATGATAAAGCATGAAACATGCTTCAGGTCAGGGATGAGGGACATTACTGAGGAAGGCACACCAATACATTTGTTCTGTTGATGCAAGATTTAAGTTTCGATGATTGTCAATCATAAGAACTTAACTGACAAATAAAAATGAACACAAGCTCTAATTAAAATCGAAAATATTTCTACTGCAAAATTACAATAAGTAATAACTTTAAATCTAAACAGAAAATCCAAACCATTAAACATTAAATCATGAGTGAAGATATGTAGTCATATTGTAAACATACCCAAAAGCTGCCTTTCCTGGACAATAAACAAGGTAGGGTTTTTAAAATTGCTTTTAGTCATCTTGTATGCGTTGTTCAAGATTCATGTATTAATATAGTATTGCTTCTTTTAAAATAACTCAGTGTTCTAGTTATAATGCATTATCAGTGTCCATAACCTCTTCACAAATGAATTTTTCATTTACTGACCAACTGCTAACGTTTGCAGACAGAAAAAATACACCTTAAGATAAAATGAATTCTCGAAACTGAAAAAGTGAACATTTTGCTTTTTAACTGCATAGAATGTATATGTGGAATCCAATTATAAATGTATTTATTTTCAAAGAAAATCTAATAGAATCAGTAGAGGACAGATCTCTCCTGGTAACAAAGTTATTTCTAGTTCTTTTCATGGAGGCAAATTAGATGATAGACTGATGTTCTCAGGCACATCTACACGAGACATTTACTGCACAGTTAACTAATTAACTGTGTAGTAAACATCTCAGTGTCTGCACATGTGCCCCTAGTAGCACACAGGAAACTAATAAATGCCGCAGCAGGGTAGTACTTGTAAACACAAGTACTACCCTACCACGGAGTTTTTTCATGCACAGTAGTGCACGTGTAGATGCTGCCAGGGCTGGCTGGGGCATGAGGGTGCTTCAGTGCAGGGGCTGCGTGCCAGCTAGCCCTGCGCCAAAGCACCCTTGTGCCCCAGCCAGCCTCTCCGCAACACACTGAGCCCAGCTGAAGCAGCCCAAGGCTGGCAGGCTGACCCCCAGACCACTTGCCAGCCGGGGTTGCTCTGACCCAGCTCAATGTGCTGGGGTCAAGGCACTTGTGTAAACGGGTGCATCCAGGAGATTCCCAGGAGAAGTAAACTGAGGAGCAATAAGCTCTACAAGTTTATTGCTGTGCATTAAAGGCACATGTAGATGCACCCCTTTTGTAGTTCACATTCCTTTCCATTATTATGACTTCAGTCTTTTTAGTTGGTGGGAGAACTGATGAGTGCTTGGTTTCTTGCTGCTTTTCCCTGAAGCTGGAGGAGTATGGGTCTGTTTTGTTTTTAACCCAGAAAAGTCCTTCTGAAAAGACATTCTTCAACTACATAAGGTGAGGAATAGCTGTTTCTGTATTAGGGTATTGGAAATTACAAATAATTCTACAGGACATTTATTTTTTCATTTGTCTATTGCACAAGATCCAATTGACTACAATACAGGAGATATGAGCCATATGACTTTGCTATGCTATCAACCAGATACATGCTACTTTAAATCCTGTCCAACTTCCTAAGCTGCTTGGTCCTTCAAAGATCATAGCATTTCCAAAGTTCAACAGTTGTAGAGGAAATATCAGGCTGGAAAGAGTCCTGAAAGTTTAGAAGAAGAGTGAGAACTGAAAAGAGAAATAGAAGTTGAGGTGATGTTAGATACCAGAACAATAATCACAGTAGCCACGTACCTTTGCCAACTTTGGTTTTTGAGCATATTTTGCTAAATTCAGTCTGGACAAGTTTATGAAAGGGCCATCTGGGTTTGTGAGCATTGATGCCTGAAGAAAAGTAATGTATTTAACAGGCCAAACTCTTATGCTTTATACAAACATTTTAAGTATTACCTGAAACAGCCAATGAAACAAAAATCAATTACCGTATTTACTTAAATACAAGATGAGCTCCCCCCCAATCAGTGTGGAGAAAAAAGCCCCTTGTCTTATATCTGCATACCACCAAATCCTGCCCCCCAAGTTAAATACAGTAAAAGCCCTGTTATCCGGCATTTTACTAACTAGAATACTCTACTAACCGGAATTTCCAGATGGCCAACCATACGCAAGGGTTGGGGGAGAGGAAGGAAAGCTCGCTCGCGACCGCCACCCACTACCCTCCACTGCCACTACTCCACATCCAGCCAAAACCTCCACCCTGCACTGCCACCGCTCCGCATCTGGCTGCCCTGACCTCCCAGCCACTAGTCTGCGTCCGCCTGAAAATCACCAGCCTCAGGTAACTAGCATTTTTAGATACCTGGCACCCTCATTCCCCACTTGTGCCAGCTAACAGGGCTTTTACTGTACATTGTCTATCATTAAATGGTTGCTAGAAGCATGAGCTCAGTCATGGAAACTAACTGTGAAGTTAATTAAATGCAGGCCATGATAAGCATGAGCATAATACAGTAGTTCTCAACTTTTTTGTACCAGAACCCATTTGTAAACATCGATGGCCAATCCCAACCCAGTGCCCCTCACTCCCAACCTGCTGCCTCCTGGCCCCAGGCCCCAGCCCCTCAGTGTGGGGGGCAATGGGGGTCTCAAGCAGCCCCTTGCAGGCTGGAAATCGGAGAGCCTGCAAGGGAAAAGCCACCATTTCCCACATTTTTCTCCTTTAAAGGAGAATCCATTTTTTAAGTTTTTTCGTGACCCTTTCATATATTTCTGCAACCCACTTTTGGGTCACGACCCACGGGTTGAGAAATGCTGGAATAAAACATCTGACCCATACGGGGCAAACACATTGATGGGAACCCACCACAAGACTAGGTTAGTGCAGCCTATCATAATAAAATATAGGACCAATTGTTCTCAGTCCCCCTCAACACCAACTCTTTTTCAAGTCATAGTGAATCATTCCCTCAAATATATTTTGACTTCCTCTTCAGTCCCACAGCTCAGCAGCACCTGCCTTTCCCATTTCCAATTATTCCTGTTTCTTCATGAGCCTTAAATATCTGGCAAGCATCACCAAACTTCTGTGTAGCTGAGAGGCTGCGTTCCCCTCTCTTTGTCCGACACATGGGATTAGTATGGCCCCATCCTCCATGGAGTAGAGATGGAGTAAGGAGCTTTGTGCCTCATCTGCATATACATTTTTGGAGGGTCCTTGTAACAAAAACACCTAGTTGCAGTTGTAAGTGGGGGGGGGGCGGTGGGGAAGGGCCTAATTAGCACATGGATCCGTTGCAGGTATATCTGGGGTATACATACTGAGCAATGTTGGGCTGTGGGGTCATCATGGCTTGATATGCTATTGACTCTGCTGGGGTCCAGCCCAGGAAACCATATGATAAGTCATGGGCCTTTGGGTGCTGGATTAACAACATGCACAGTTTGTACTATGTCTAAGTAGGCACAAAAATGTTGCTCAAAAGTGTGTTCATGGAGTACTCAGTTGAAATTTGCAGCAGTCTGCAACAAGGTAAAATACATCATCTGACTATTTCCCCAAGTCTGAGTCAAGGTCAGAGAGAGACCCACAGCAGTCTCCTGTTCCCCTCAGACTGCCCTGTGAAGCTTCTGTCTCCTCTCTGTTGCTTTCCTCTCCGTCTCCCTCCCTACCTTACTGTCACTTGCAGCTCACTTCCACACTGGAAGATTGTGCTCAGGGAGGGAACAGAGCCTGAGAAGGTGGCCAGGGCGGGGGGAGGGGAGGGGAGGAGAGGAGAAGAGAGGAGAGGAGGAGGAAGGCTACAGGGGGAAGAATATTGGGGGGGGGGAGGGGCAGAGGGGAAGGGGGCTGATGCAGCAAAATAAGCTAATCGGACTTATTTAATTAACTGGTCATGAGAGGCTAATAGCTCCCTAGAAAAATAATTTAAAAATTTGCTAAGGAGAGGCTCAATTTTGCTTTTGTTGAAGTCACAAACAGTTTTATTTTCATGGACTTCACTGAATGAAGAACTAGGTCCGCAGAATTTATATTGTGCAATGTTCTAAATTTGGATACGCTTTATTCATTGATCAACTAGTAAATTATTTAAACTGTTTTAAAAATAGAGTTGTTAATGTGCTGCACATTTCATATGCTCTATCCTAACTTCTTCTAGCTCAATTTTTAGATGCAGCTTCTAAGCACAACCAAAATATCACATGATATATGCTACAGAAGGGAAAGCTATCCTTTGCAGTTGAAAAATTAAGATGTTTACCGTTCCTAGTCTGACATATCTCCCAGAAGCACTGGTAATTGGGCGAGCAGTGTGGGCTGTTCTAGGTGTTTTTATAGCCTGTTCCATAGTGCCTGGCCGTCCACCTTGTGTGCTGGGTCGCACAAACCCAGTAATAGGTCTTCCCGTCTGAGTCACTGGCCTGAAGATAATGAAAGTTAAAACAAAAGATTAAGCTAATGTATTTATTTTTCAAACCACCATATCAGTAAAAACAAATTACACATTTAAACCTGAAGTTGTGTAATTTATTAAATATTTTACATTAAGGAGCAGCTCCAAAACATAATAAATTTACCAGTTTAATCTGACAAAGATAAGGAACTACGTACCTAACAGCTGGACTAGGACCACCCCCCTGACTGGTTCCAGGGAGTTTCAAAGAAGTTCCTGGACCTACAAAATAAGAGTGTTATTACTTAGCATTATTTTACAGGTGAGAGAAAGGTCATGGCATTTAAAAATAGATAACAAAGAGATGATACCTGGGCCAGAGATCTTACAATTTGTAATGGGAAAGGAAGTGGGAAGAGTTGATGTCATAGGAGACAAGAAAGGCTACATACTATAATTATAAGGTTGTTTGTTTTACAGTAAAAAAAAATCATTAATTTTGCTAAATCAGTTTATGGTCCAAGAGAGTAACTCTGTCAAAATTATATGGAAAAGGTAGAATTTGAGGAGAGATATGAAGGCAGAGGGAACTTGTTTGACCTAAACAGTTAGGTATGGTATTCCAGATCTTGAAGATGTAATAGTTGGTTTGTGGATTGTGCTCCTTATACATACCAAAGCCTTTACTAGCCCCTTAAGAAATTCCAGGGTTATGGGATGTGAAAATACCAAATGACCTTTATGGGGGTAGAGAGTGAAGGGACAAGATAGCTGCTAACTGTACCTTGATTTAGCTGAGAGCTAGATCCATGCTCCTCAGTGCCAGAATATAATCCAAGATGGAAGGAATGGAGGACTGACTGAAAAGAGACCTCATGCCTAACACACTACAGAAAAACATTACTATTTTACTATGTAGGCACACTTTGTGGAAACTTTTCTGCATGTGTAAGACAGTCAGACAGTCCTGCTCTAGCTGTGAGGACCATCCAGCATCCAATCAGTTAGGTGAAGAGAGAAGCTCTGGATGGAGTAATTTGCCCTTGTCTTGGAACAACAGGATAAAAAAAAGCAAGAGGAAAAGAATGCAGTCCAAGCTGGGTAAGTGTAGGAGGTCTTAGAAACAGGGTGATCTAGACTAGGCTGGGTTTGGCAGAAGGATCTGTGACCAGTTCTGCTTACTATGACCTACGGAATTAAGGGTATAGGAGGGAAAGCATACAACAGAGTATTTCACCACAGTAGCAAAAAAGCACCAAAGAAAAGTGATGGACTGAGGCTGGAACAGAAGACGTGATACTTCCCCTTAAGCTTTGCCTCAAATAGATGTGTTCGCAGAGACCCTATACAGTAAACATGTCAGGGAGAGCAACATTCTTGATTTCACACTTACAGGACTCTGATAGGACCCTGCTTATGTAGCCTGCTGCCACTGGAGGCTGGGAAGAAGAACAGCAGAGAGGTGAACTCAACGACAAGTACACCAACTCCATTATCAGTGTACGTCCTTGTTGAGAATAGAGGATCTGGGGCCTTTGTGCTTTTTATATATAACATACGAGTGGTTTTATCTATGACTACCTGATTACCAGCCTCAAATACATCAGAAAAAACTAGAGGTGCACCGATACATCAGTCCAATATCAGATCGGCACTGATATAAAGAAAACTGACTGAATCGGAAATCAGCTTTTTTTTGCCTGATGTGGCCAATAAATGCCTTGTGCATGTGTACAGCTGCAGTGCAGCACATAGGCCAGGGGCAGGCAAAATACAACCCACCAGCCGCATCTATCCAGTCCACAGGGCACCTAAAAAATTTAGAAAATGTCTATTTATCTGCTCCTGGATCCTGTTAAAGATGACAGGAGCCAGGGGCAGTAGGACCCAGGGGAAGCCGGCAGCACTCACCAACAAAGCCAGCCCGGCTCTGCACCATTCCCAGCCCCCTCAACGGGAAGTGTCTGCCTGCCCTGGCTTGCACTGCTTCCCTGCATGCGGCCGCCTCCAGCACCATGTGGCCCCAGCTGCATCACTGGGCCACAGGAGAATGGCCCATGCAGGTACCCCAGGGCTGGAAGCGGGAGGGAGTGGGGGGCATGTGTGTGTGTGCCTGCAACGAGGGAGGGGGAGAGAGACAGAGAGAACAATACGTGAGGGAGAGACTGTGTGTGGGGGCAGAGGAGACGTGTGTGTGTATTCACAAGGGCAACTCCCACACACGCACCCCACCATATACATTCTCATTAAAAACTAGGGGACTGTGGCGTCGACACCTACACAGTCAAATGGGTCACTAGTTGGCTGGAAGGTCGCACCCAGAGAGTGGTCGTGGACGGGTCATTTTCAACCTGGAGGGATGTGGACAGTGGGGTTCCGCAGGGTTTGGTCCTCGGGCCCACACGGTTCAATATCTTCATCAGCGACTTGGACGAGGGTGTAAAAAGCACCCTGTTCAAATTTGCAGATGACACTAAGATGTGGGGAGAAGTGGGCACGCTAGAAGGGAGGAATAGGCTGCAATCAGACCTAGACAGGTTACAGGGGTGGGCGGATGAGAACAGGATGGGTTTCAACACTGACAAGTGCAAGGTGCTGCACCTGGGGAGGAAGAACCAGCAGCAGACCTACAGGCTGGGGAACTCCCTTCTCGTCACTGCAGAGGCAGAAAAGGATCTTGAAGTCATTATTGATGCCAAAATGAACATGGGCCAACAGTGTGGGGTCAGGAAGGCTAACCATATATTGTCATGCATCCACAGATACATCTCAAGCAGGTCGAAGGAGGTGATCCTCCCCCTCTATGAGACACTGGTCAGACCACAGTTGGAGTACTGTGTCCAGGTCTGGGAGCCACACTTCAGAAGGGATGTGGATAACATGGAGAGGGTCCAAAGGAGGGCCACCCACACGATCAGGAGTCAGCAGGGCAGGCCCTACAAGGAGAGGTTAAGGGACCTGAACCTGTTCAGCCTCCACAAGAGAAGGCTGAGGGGGGATCTAGTGGCCGTTTACAAACTGGTCAGGGGGGACCAGCAGGCATTGGGGGAGTCCCTGTTCCCCTGAGCACTAGCAGGAGTGACTAGAAATAATGGTCACAAGCTGGCAGAGGGTAGATTTAGGCTAGATATCAGGAGGCGCTACTTCACTGTCCAAGAGAAGTGGAGCTGGCTCCTACCCTGGGGGTCTTTAAGAGGAGCCTGGATGAACACCTCGCCGGGGTCATTTGATCCCGGTACTCTTTCCTGCCCATGGCAGGGGGTCGGACTTGATGATCTGCTCAGGTCCCTTCCAACCCTACCAACTATGAAACTATGAGTGTGCTCCTCAACCCCTGTGTCCCTCCTACCAGTTGCCTATGTCCACAAGCCTATACCCATGCCCCCCTCCCCCAATATACAAGAGTAAGACTTCATTTTAAGCTATTGCGCAATCACCTTTGTGTACAGTACACAAACACGTGTATTTGTATATACTACACAAACACAGGACAAAAATATTTTTAAAAATCAAATTAATGAATGTTGTAGATGTTTGATTTTTAGAATATAATTTTGTGTTTTTCTGGTTCTGAGGTGGCAAAACTCCTTGCTGAAAGGAGTATTTCTGGCGGCAAGGGGAGGGACTTCTGGTGGCAAAGGTCAGGGGTTAGGGGGGGGCGAGACTTCCAGGCACAAGATGGTGACCAGGGTGCAGGGCATCTGTCAAGGGGTGGGACTACCAATGTGGCCCTCAACAGCTTGCCAAGACTCGGTAAGTGATCCTCCACCCGAAATAATTGCCCACCCCGACACAGGCGGTGAGGAGCACAGCCCGACAGTGTGGAGATCTGCATCCAGCTGATCTGCCTACTAAAGTCTACTATGGTGGAACACAACAGATCGAGGCCCCCGCGGTGAGGGAGAGAGTGGGGCCGTCGCTGGGATAGGCACTGCCCAGCTGGGGCAGAATGGAGCACAGGACAAAGAGGCAGCTCATCCTGGGGGCATGGGGAATGGGGGAGGAATGGTGGCTCCTGCTGCTGTGTGCACCCCGAGAATGCAGGGGGGGCATGTGCCCCTCAGATCTGTGTAGTGCAGGGCGGGCTGCTGATGTTGGCTGGGGCTGGAGCTGGACCAGGCTGACACACTGGGAGGGAAGGTTGAAGGGGCTATGGAGAATTTTCAGGTGGCTGCAGCAGGGCACAAACAATATGTGTTTTAATATATCCAGTTGTAAAGTAATGCATCTAAGAACAAAGAGGGGGACACTATTCTGGAAAGCAGTGACTCTGAAGAAGATCTGGGAGTCCTGGTGGATAATCACCTACACATGAATTCCTAGTATAATGTAGTAAAGGAGATAATGAAATTTTGGATATATAAGCAGGGGAATATCAAGTGGAAGAACAGAAAATGTACACCAGTCTCTTGCACACTTCATGCTCCTTGTTTCTAAAAAGGCAGAATGAAGGGGAAAAAAAGATTTTTCCAGAGATATGGAATTTTAAGCTTGCTCTCACCTTCCCTTTCCTATTCAGGCAAAAGCTATCATTTTAACCCTTTTACAGATGAATTGTCAGCAGCTTTTGGCTATTGAGCCAAAAACCGAAACTGCAGCTGCTGCTAAAGACTGGACTTCATTGGCAATCTAGGATTTTGAAAAAAGCTAAAGAAGTCTATAGGGCTGTGAAACTGGAGAGAGACCAAGAGTCAGTAACTAAAAGCAAAGTTGTGAATGACAGACTAGCTTGATTAGTGGAACATCAAGACCATCAAAAAGGAGAGAAACTGCCAACACTTGTGGATGGAAGAGCAATTTGCAAATCAAGTGGATTATAATAAGCACTGATTCCCTCAGTGATGCCTGAATAGAAAATGCCATTTCTTCTGTTCTGGGCATAAAATCAACTACCCCACATAAAACACTCACCAATTCTGAACAGTTAATTTATTAGGAAAGCGTGCATCTGGTATGTGAGTAAATATGGTAGTCAGAGTTGTGCACTGATGCCCCTGTTACTTCACAGAAACTCTGCATAATTGTTGTGACCAAAATTCAAAAAGAAAGTTGATAATGTTCAGAAAAGAGCCATGAGGTTGAAACATATGCCTTATAGTGAGAAACTTTATGAGCTTGAACAATTTAGAATAAACAGAATAATGAGCAACTTGATCAAAATCTTTATGTACAGTAAAAGCTCTGTTATCTGGCATCCCCCATTCCCGGGTTAATTGAGCAGCTCGAATTAAAATATGCCGGTTAATTGAGCAGCCCGAACAGGTGTCCTTGCCTGTTTGGGCTGCTACTTCTCCCACTGTGTCCGGGGCGTCGCTGACCCTCCCGCAGCATCGCCAACCCTCCTGCAGGCCCTGGAGGCCCCATGGGACAGGGAGGCAAGCCCCACACGGCCTGTCATACCCCTGGGCTGTGGGTGCTTGGCAGTGCAGGCTGCTTTGCCCCCGGGCCATGGGAGTTCGGCAAAACCAGAAGTGCCATGGTGGGCACTTCTGGTTTCACTTTGCCTTACAAATGGTATGCCGGTTAATAGAGTATGCTAGCTTGTAAGGTGCCAGTTAATGGAACTTTTACTGTATTTACATTCAGAATAGAAAATTGAAGTAGAGGGAACTTCAGTCCAGCCTACAAAGGTTTAATAAGAACTAACAGCTGGAATCTGGAGCTAGACATATTTTCCAGGTACAGACATTACACTTTTACCAGTATAAGTGATCAGAAATCAGTCTATACCCATAACAGAACAGAAGTTCGGCACACAGACTAGCCTCACCCCGCAATAAAAGGTGAATCTCTGTTCTGTTTGTTACTGATCTAAACTACGCCGCTTACAAAAAACTGTGCAACTTAGATCAATTCTGCCTCTGGCTTTTTAAAGGGTCTGTACCTAGCCATTTTAGACTAGAAATAAGGATTGTTCTTGTAATAATGAGCTGAATTTACTATTGAAACAATTTGGCAAGGACCGTTTTTGTAAAAAATATATGTACTATACTGTCTATGTTATACAGTTCAAAGTAAGACTATCATAATGGTTCCCTTTTCGCCTTGAAATCTATCAAATACCACCCAGCAAGTCACTTTCTTCTTAGTCCCCATTTCAACTGTAGAGTGACTATATTTTTCCAGAATGTCCTATTTCTCAAGAATATCCATCTGTATCCAACTATTTTTCTTGGCAGAAAGTCTCCACCTCAGGGGGCCACACAAATCTAGTGCAGGTCTCTAAAATGTTTTTTATACTTGAGACAAATACATTTTAGACTATCATCATATATAAGCTCAATTTTGGTACTGCCTAATTTTTGGCATGTAACCAAGCATGAAACTCAAATATTTATGGGGCTCACATGTTTTGTTCTGACCTGTCTGGTTCTTACCTACCCTTTGATCTCGTGACTCAGAATCGGGCCCTTTGGGAAATTATAAAAGACAGATTTATGTCAATACTAGATAGACAGAAATATTGGAGAAGCACTTAAGATGGATATTGACTCCTCATTGATAAAGGAACTGGTAAGGAAACAAAATGTGCTGTACAGAAGGCACTAGGAAAAAGCCTATAACAGGATGTTCTTTCCCCATTACTGAGGTGCTAGGGTAGCAAGAGGTGAAGGTTGTGGGCTCACTCGTGTCTTGCTTCACCCCTCCATGACTCTATAACAGAACCAGCCATCAACTTGCCAAATGAAAGCTGAATACTGAAGGATCTAAAGCTCCTGAGTCAGAGGGGCTGCTGGAACAGAGTGCTGATGGTCTGAAGAAAATGGCACAGGCCTGAGAGCAGCAGAAAGTGGAAAAGTGATACAGTGCAATGGAGGTACTTCAGTAGTGAAGGACAATTTTGATATAATGTATGGTAAGTCAGATTGCTGTGGGACTAGCAGGGGTAGAGGACAACTGACCAGGAAGTCCAGGCTGGACAGCCAAATAGGAGTCTTAAAAATTAACTAGCAAAGAGCATTGGGGACCAGCTTATATATAAAAGAAAGCCTCACTGGTCAGAGCACACAGGCAGACAAAATCTGTCCAGCGAACAGAGGCAGATGAAATCTGTGCTTAGACCAACATGGCTACAGCCTAGATTCCTGAAACATGGAAGATATCGAATGTTGCCATTCAAAATGGAAACTTCACAATGTGAAGAAGAAAAAAGCCATTATTAATAACTTTGACTAAAATTTTAAAATCAAGTTATGCCCTGGCCCCCCCCCCCGGCCTGCCTGACATCTGATACCTACAGTTAACAACCTGCCTTTGTCTCCTGCATCTCCTCTACATTTGTGTTCCTGCAGAACAGCTTTCCAAGACTGGCTTTTTTTTTTTTTTTTTTTTTTTTTTAAATACCTGAGAGTTTTCTGGCCATCTTTAATTTCTCTCTCCATTTTTAATTTTTTTTCTCCTGATGAAGGACGTGTGTCCGAAAGCTTGTAAATAACAAATTTTTTGCAACTATTTAGTTGGTCTAAAAAAGATCCAAAGATCTGGCCCACCAACTGATTGGATCCAACCAGCAGCCACCCCTACAATGCTCCACATGGAGCTGAGCCATGCCCGCTCCTGAGCAGGGCAGTCCACGCTGCGCTCCTGCCCTGCGCCTGCCAGATAGCACCACACCAGCCCATCCTGCCAGCAGATACAGCTTCCTGGTGGGGCTGCTCCCAATGCAGCTGCAGCTTGCCTGGGTGCTGCTCAGCTCCCCGCAACTCCAGCAGCTCTGCCCCTCTTCCTCTTGTGCCACCCCAGGCAGAAAGGGAAGCTGGTGCTGGGTGGCTTTTACCCCAGCATGCTGGGCTCCAGCCTCAGCCACCTTCTACCCACTCCGCCCACCTAACATGATGAGCAGCCACCTGCAGGTCGCCGAGTGGGCAGAAAGCAGCCAAGAAGTGGAGCCATATGCACCCTGGAATCGCTGGCCACAGATTCCCCCAGCTTGAAGCAGTGTAGCAGGGGCAGGAGGAGGAGCTGCTGAGGTAGGAGTGACCAAGCCCCACTAGGAAGCTCTGTATGCTGTCCAGGGCTGGCAGATATGGGCAGAAGTGCAGCACAGGCTGCCCCAGGCAGGAGCAGGTGGGGCTTGGCCCCTGTACCACACTGCCCTGGCAAGTTCTGCTGCATTTGCCCCTTTGCCCCTTCCTTCCTTCCCTCCCTCCCCTAATCCTGGACCCACTCCCAAGATGTAGCACACAGGCAGCCCTCCACACACACACTCGCCCACCCAACACACACCCACACCTTCCTGCCCCCCACACCATACGCACCCCCATATACGCATCCCACCCCCCCACACACAATATATAAGAATAAAACTTTATTTTGAGCTATTATACAATCATCTCAATATGCTATTAAAAAAAAACATAAATCAGGACAAAAATTAAATTTTGACGTTAAAATAAAATGTTTTAGTATCTGATTTTTTAGTCTTATTTGTTAAAATGATATCTTCTAAAAGATTTTGTGTGTGCAGCCCTTAACTGCTCACCAAAACCCATTTAGTGGCTCTCCAGCTGAAATAACTGTCCACCTGTGGTTTAGGGCATATGCCCATTCCTGTATCTCACAATGATGAAATTTAGAGAAGTGGTACAGTACTGACAAGAAAAGGATTAAACTTCTGGGCTGGGGGAGAGGGTTAATAAAGTACCACTTGTTTGAACTCTTGACTTGAAAATGGATTTTTGCTTTAACTGAAGAGCCCAGGTACCAAATCAGGTACATACAGTACACCTCACATCTATGGTCCACCCACAGGACAAACTAAAGCACTGATTCGGAAGATTCATCCTAATGTATACTATTCTGCTTAAAATATGTGGGCTCTTTAGAACTACAGTTTAATTACTGCAACCAAGATTTTATTCTACTTGGATCTAGCATGTCTTAAGTAATGACATTTTTATTGATGCTCAAATGAAGTTGTGGTGGCACCTGAAAGCTAATGCCAGGTCAGTGCATTTATGTGCAATCAGCTATTAGAGAACAGTCTTGCCTTAAGAAACTTGAGCTATTTTAATACATTTATATGAAAGCTTTGTACTTACGTGCAACTTGAGCAATGGCATTTTCATCAAGTATCATCTCTGCTATCCCCTCCTGATCCACATCAATTTCATCAACATAAACCATTTCTGTTAATGCTCGTGTCTTAAGACTCCAAGCAGCCTAAATGAGATTGAAGAAGCAGCAAGCACATTTTAAAGAATGGGGGGAAAGCATTCCATTTTAACAGGTTTTTAAAAATAATTTAATCCCTTAAAATATTATACTTTAATTTCATTGCTAATTCAGGGGACAGAATTTTGTGACCTATGAAAGATTAAAGCTGGTCTTGGACAAAAGCAATTGCTTGAAGTTCCATGGTCTTGAAGACCTTACAGACCCCAATTCAAATCAGCAACTGACAAATTCCTCTTATTCACATCACACTGAGTTGTGATGAAAAACATTATCAAGTAAGACTCTTTAACATGCTAAACTGCAAACACTTACAACATAACCCAATGTGTACTTTGGACCTTCCTTCTTCAAAGCCGCCCATCACTCCTTGCTTCCGAGTATCAGCACTAATACATGTGTACATCTATAGTGATACTAAAGCTAACAAACAGCACAACACTACTGTAGTACTGGATGGCAAACTAGACTGCCAAATGACTTCAATAAAGATCTTGGCAGATTGTATGACAGGCCTGAATGTCAAGTACGATCCTGAAGTAACTATATGAAGAACTCAGTGTAGACTTGTTTCATCTATTGAATCAGAGCAGCATAAGCTTTACTGGTTATACAGCAGTGCTGGAGAACCAAGAATGCAGATACAACTGTTTTCTGGAAAAGTTAATATACAATTAATGGATTTATAAGCCTAGGGTGTTAGAGGGAGGTTGTGAAATCATTCACTGAACTTCTTTCAGACATAGAACAGGCTACCATAGTGACTCATTATAAAAATTAGGTAAGCCATGGCACTCTACCAGAGAAGCCTGTTTAATGTTTGCAAAACAGATACCTCAATTAGATACAGTATGTTGAATCTTTACCTAATGGATAATAAAGGTCAAACACACAGAAATATTTATTTTTGAATCTAGAGACAGAAAAGGATCCTATAAAAAGGACTTTTTAGTTTGGACCATACTGTAAAAAGATCCCAAATCAGGGACACTTATGAACATGCAAGCATGTGCCTTCACATGTGCATCATATTATGTCTGTGACAACAGAGGCTGTCTAAATAGAAAAAAATTAGACAACTAGCCCACCTGCTTAACTGTAACTAGAAACTTTTCCTGTAGTCAGAAAAGAAAGGAAAAGACCAAGATAACTTGAATCTAGTTGTCAAATAGAATCAAAAAGTGTTTTTTTTTTTATCTTCTTGGTTCCTAACACATGGTTTTACTGACAACCTTTAATTAGCACCCAGATTTTATATTTAAATGTTTATTTAATTCTTTAAATTTTATCATGAACCTCTAAGCCAAGTTCATTTGCATTATCTCACAGAACTTTAAAGTTTGTGAAGATGCGTATGTGTGTGTTGTTTCCTGTCCAACAGCCCCTCAGCCCCCCCCCCCCCCCCCAAATAAAAGGACTTCAAAATGGCTGCAAAGGCATGCAGAACTAGTGCTTTCTATCTGGTAAGCTTGAGAACAGGAATCCTTGCATGCCTCAGCCTTCAGAGGCTCCTGGTACACTGTTAAAAGCAGCGGTTTTTAACCTTTTTGGCTGGTGGGCTGGATGAGCAATGCCCAGGCCATCCACAGGCCAGATCTGGCTGATGGTCCCAATTCAGCATGAAGCAGTTGCAGCAAGGCCGTATCCAGCCACACAGAGGAGGGCAGGTGGCATTCCAGCTCTAACCAGACCACATGGGGAGGGAGAGCCAAAGGGGGGGGGGGGCAGCCCTGACCCAGCACCATGCAGAAAGGGGGCTTGACCCAGCCTCAGAGGGAGGGAGGGGAGGGGAAGGAGGCTTAAACTGGCTCCAACCCAGCCCCAAGGTGGGAAGGGGGCATGGCTCAGCTCCATTCAGCCACAGAGGTGGGAGAAGGAGGTGTGATCTGGCTATAACCTGCTGCACAGGGTTCAGGGTTTGAGAATTTGGCAGGGGGGGGGAAGGTGGCCATATTAATTGCCACCACTTCCCCTGCCACCAAATTTCCCAGACTGTGGGAAGACTTATGTGCTGTACACTTATGGCTCCATGGGCTACATTTGGCCCAGGGGCTGAAGGTTGAGCACCCCTAGTCCCGAGCATTAAAGGTGTTTGGAATACTTCAAATGGAATGTCTATCCATGGCCTAACTAAACACCAGAGTCAGATTGCAGCAGGTCAGCAACCTTTTGCAGGCTTGGGCAGTGTTTCAAACCAGCCTTGGCTGCAGACTGGAAGTCTCTGCCCCTACCCACTCCGAGCAGCCAGCTGCCAGATATCCATCCCCTCTGCAGCAAGGATGAGATCAGATGCTGCAAAGAGGAGTGTGCAGGGGATGGGCAGAAGGCCTGTGTGAAGTGGCTAGTATTCGCTTCAGATTTGGATTTGGCCGAGTCAAGGGATAGCGATTTGATTCAGTGATTTGAATTGCTGTCCTGAATCGATTCGGCCAAATCTGATTTGGAGATTCGGCCACTGCCAAATCGGCCAAATCCCCAACTCAAACAGGTCCCATCCTCTACCCACTCTCCCAGCCCCAGCATCCCTGTTCTTTAAAAAATAAAAAAACCCGCACTCACTGGCTGCTGCCAGGTGTGGGGGGGGGGGAAGCGATCCCCACTGCACTCTGCTGCCCCATGCTGTGTGGGGGGGGCTCTGCCACAAGGCCCCAGAAGCCCTGACAGCTGCGGTAGCAGCTGGTGAGTGCAGGGCGCATTTTTGCCTTTTATTTATTTATTTTTTTAAGAGCCAGGAGCTGGGTCCAGGCAGAGCAGTCATGGGGGGGGGAGGGGGGGGGGGCGGTACTCACAGGGGCCTGGGAGAGCAGGCAGAGGATGGGGCCTGGCAGGGGTCCTCCCATGGTTCCCTCCCCCCTCCTCCAGCCCTCCCCTACCAGCCTCCTACTTACTGGCATGGAGTCTGGGTCCAGCTCCCTGCGGTGGCAAGCGGGGACTGCCTGAATCTTTGGAGAGCTTCAAATCGCTTTGAACCTTTTTATTGGTCTCCCAATTCAGTTCGGATTCAGAGATTTGGCCACCAAATTGAGCAAAATCTCCTCTGAATCCAGTCATCACCCAAAGCACTGCACAGCCTTAATGGGCAGCACAGTACAGCTCCACGGCATCAATCCCCAATGCCAGATTAGACTTCCATAAGCCACACTGGACCTCTTTGTGGGCCAGATCTAGCCTGTGGGTTGTGGGTTGCCTACCTGGGGGGTTGCGTACCTGTGGATTAGAGTGTTACCCTTGGCAGTGAATGTAATTAAAGTTGCAAGAGATAGAGAAACCTCTGTATTGATTAAACAGTAATGTAATGTAAATAGTGCTGGATTTAAACAATCAATTTTGGTATGGGGATTTAAAAAAAAACAACAGGGAAAACCTCCCTTTTTGGAACCTGAATGCAGCCATATATTGTAGCATAATCATTTAAAACCTAGGCTTACCTGAAAAGAACCTTCAGTTCAGTTGGGGGAGGGCAGGAGGAGTCAATAAAAGTATTACAAAATGCTAAGGGTACACATAAGATTGTACCCAAAAAAATTATTTATCCTTTATTTAGAAGGAAAGGCAGTGACCAACTGAGTTCTAAAAATTCTTCTATCATTTCACACTGGGTAAAGAAGAGGTCATTATTGAATGGACATTTCATAATTAAGGTTATAAATCTCTCAAAATAGCTCATTTTACTGATTTACTATAGACCTATGCTTTGTTTTGGGCTGCATTTTTGTTTGTTTGTTTTTTATCCTTATTTTCATTTATCCTAATGTAGATTTATAAAGATACATCAGTGGATACATATTCAAAATAGTGCATGGCTGCTACTACAGTCCAAGAATACCCCAAAGCTAGAACTGTACACTTTGAAAAGAAGTTGTTCTTCACTGGCATTGTCAAAAATCCATACAACTCCCATTCCCACAAATGCACTCAGAGACTGCATGTATTTAGTAAGCTAAGCTATGTACCTACAAAATTATATATCTATATGGACTCTGCCTATTGAATCCCACTTACTTTATCCCCTCCCTCTTTTCAGTAGCAGTCTCTTTTTCTGTGTGCAAAAAAGGATGGATTTATGGCAGCCTTCAATGAATATTACACACTAAGCTCTCATCCTGTAGTAGGGTGGATTTTAATGGAACTTCATAGGAGCACAAAGGTCAGCCAACACAGAACTCACCGATGGATTCAAGCTTTACAACAGCCTTCTTGCAAACTTTAGTAATTCAGTCAAATCACAATAACTTTCTTCAGAACACTCAAAGGTTTGGCTACTGCCAAACCAAATGTCAGCTTTCTACCTTAAAAATATTCAAAGAATTAAAGAAAAATTTTAAAACCCCAGAAAAACAACATAGCCTATTTTTGTTTAAATTTCCCCAAATAATCTATCTGCCTAGTCCTTAAAGATTTTAGCCTGTTGAAAGATTTGCTAAATAACTGAAAATAGGGAGCTAAAATGGAAACTGTTATGCAAACAAGTATGTAGTGGTTCCTTTTTAATGCATATTAAAAGATATTTTGGGAAGACAAGTTATATTATTGGACTATTTCAAAGGAAGCCAACAAGAAGTGCAGGCTGTTTTTTTTAACCAATATGAGACTAGCAACTTTCAAAGTGTAGTGTTGGGTCATGCTGCTGTTCAAAATGTAAAGACGATATCCGTACTGGTTTGTATAATTAAGAAAAAACAAAGCAACCGTGCCAGGGCAACTGGAAATCTCCACAGTCATCATTTAAAAAAAATTGTCCACACCAAGTGTTTAGCCCTTTTTATTTTCCTCCTGTCTATTTAGGCTACCAACAAAGTCATTTCCTTTTTTAAAGCACTGGTGGCTTCCCATTTTGCCATTTCCAAATCAGGCCTGTTGCCCTTGCCTTCAAGACCCTACAATATGAATCTGACCTCCTTCGGTCTCCTTCTATAGTTTCCTTGATGAGATGGAGGACAGTTTATAAATCAATGAGCAGAAAAAATACAAAAAAAATATATATACATGTTTCTGAATCACATGGTTGTGTGTGTGCACACAGCTTTCAGCCTATATCCCCCAACCCTCACTCACTCCTCTTGACTTTCCTTGCTTGAACCTTGTCTACTTATAATTCTCATTTCTTTCACCAGGTTAAATTTAGGTTATCTGTTCTTTATGGCAGGGGGGCATGTCCTGTTCTCATTGAAAATACAACCTGGAACATTTCTGGGTATTTAAGAAAAAAGTTGTCCTTCATGACATGGACCTTTATGCAGCTGCAGCTTGTCCAAGACCAGTTCATTTCCCTTAAGTCACAAAAAGTTTTAACTTTTAATCTTTTGCAACTCAGAACATGTTCAAATCTCTGGCCTAGAGGGAAGAGCTTCCAGGCAGGATACAACTAACTAACAAAATTAATGACCCATCACTACTAACCTTATATCCTTTCCCACCCATGGAGATCTAGAATTTAAACTGCTTTCTGTTATACCAAACGCAAAGTAAAGGCTTAAGCAAAGTATTTATTTTATTAATGAATTAATTAGATTTATATCCTGCTCTCCCCAACAGGAGGCACAGGGCAACTAGAGGTATGGAATGTTACTTGACACTTTTCTTATATACTGTAATCTTAACAGAAAAAAGACAGAAAAAACAATATTCAAGGTATATGTTCAACATCAAAGCTCATTTGTTATCCATTTTGTAAGATTTCCTTTACATAATCAAATTAAGTAAACCTTTTTCTTTACTTATGAAAAAATCGCAATTAAAAAAGTACATTTAGAATGGAGAGCTACGCATTCAAAATCTCTCCACATTACAATAGTTATTGCTATTATATTTTCTCTTAAGTACAATATACTATCAGACAACTGTTTTTGACAATAGCTTTGTAAAAGTATAACTCTCCAAGAGAAAAAAATGAATGTGACAGTGGTCATCTGAAGTCCTGTTTACGCAGGGATTGGCAATTGGCAGGGATTTATGTTTATAAATTACTTTTATTAACTGTCTGGCATATGTGGTACATATGTAACATCTTATTATATATTTAAGAGTCCAGGAAAAAGCCGTTCTATTGTATTTCTCAAACTCATTTTCTCCTAATCTTGTCAAGATAGGAGTGACTGAGTTGGAAGCAGACTTAATTTGTGGCAATTTGGTAAAACTAGATTTCATCTCAGTTGAGCAACTGAACAAGAGAGGGCTCTGAAAGAAATAGAGGTAGAAAATGGGAGGTAGGGAGGAAACTGTATTGATTATAAAATGCAGTCAGTTTAAATTTCCCTGTATCAAATGCACTGTTGTACCAAGGTTTTAAAAATGTATGCTATCAAGAAACTGAACAAATGAATCAAACTTCACTATACAGCATACTAAAAAAAAAATAAAAAAATTCTTAGGTGTTCCCCCTTCCCATTCCTGTTCCCAAGTACTTGCACTTATGAACAGTTTTTACCTGAGATATTGTGAATCCAGAATCCGACTCCTAGAAAAGATGAGAGACAGAGTTGTGAAATAAGAAATGAAACCACCCAAACAATGAAAGAACAGAAATAAAACATGCAAACCTAAATTAAAATAATCTGTGATCTCCATCACACCCAGGCATCTTATTATTAGATTGTATCCCTCTGCTTTCTAGAGCCAACTGAAGTCTTCCAACAGAGGTAATAGATTTATGCAAATCACAAATTAAACACTACAACATTTTTAAATTTAAGAATATCCCACATAACATAATTAAAAGGTATCTTTAATTTATCTTTTTGGGACAGCTACAAATATCAACCATTAGATCTGGGTGACATGCTCATAATATATACCAAACTTTCGATGCTGGAATTCTTCCCAATCCCTGTGCATGGCATGCATGAAGAAAAAGGTTTTTCCTCACTGTCTCATTAACAAGTGATGACTACATCATGAAAGTATTAAAATAACATATTTGTCTGCACATACCTTTTTATGGTGAACACAATATACTGATGCAGTTCACACACACATGATCTAAGCAGTACATATTTCAAATTAATACTGTGGTATTGCATCTACCACTTGAACAAGTCTGACAAAAGGGAAAACCTGTCAAAGTAATATTTAAAGCAAATGAATTTGTGGGCCTAAAATTTCAATATTTGAAATTTCAGAGAACTGTTGAAGCCATGTGTGTTTCTAAAAGAAGCTGGACAATATTTCTATAGGTTGTATCAAGTCCTACAATTATTAGAAGCTGTATGGATTTTACACAAGAGTGTAAAATATAAAAGCTAATAGGTTTTCCAGTTTCCTAAGCAACTCAAATATAGATTAGCTTTGTGACTGTACACTGGAAAAATCTGTGTAAGATTAGCAGTGGTTCAAAATAGTTACCATCTACATTAATCTAGTTACTGAAATCTATTAAAAACAAGCTGGCAGCAACCTCTATCACTTTATACTGAGGAAGAACTGAAGATTTAATTGAAAAGCTCTTACAACATCACTTGTTTAAATTGTGAATTTTGGCAGGAGGAAGGCCCACAGGATGGAAAAAAGCCTTTTCTTTGTGCCAGGTGCTCCATTCAGACACGGCTGTGACACAAATTGGTAAAAATAATCATTCCCTTGTTTTGTAAGATCTCTGGTTCAATTGCCGTTAAAGTATAAAACTCTATTCAGCCTGTTGTACCTGCCTATTATAGCATATACAATCTACTATAAAATAATTTAAGAGAAGCAAGTGTTCTTACTTCCTGCATGTGCTACAAAAACTAATGAGGAAAAGGTTAGTGATACTGTGTCAGCCCTGACTCAAAAATGCTTTGATATTACACCTGTATATCTTAATCTAAGCCTTCGCCATTCTTGAAGAAATAAATTTTAAGGTCACTAAAATATTTCCTATATCACAACATGAAATGAAGCTATGAATGTTAAAACTTCTATCATTTTGAAGAGGATGAGGGTGACTAGCTATAAGTTAAAAGCTTTCTCTGCCTTGAATACACTAGGACAGGGCTGTCCAAATGCTGGCCCACGGGGTAATGGAGCCTGCAAGAGGTTAAACTGTAGCCCCTGGGCTCTCACTCAGCTACCATATTCCCCCCCATCACTCTGGCTGCAACAACAGCTGGAGTCTCTGGGCTCCCCCTCCCTCCTCCAGCTGCTGCTTCCTGCCCTTGTCCCAGAGGGTGAGGCAGTGCAGTGCAGCTCAGTGCAGGAAGCAGAGGGTGTGCCCGGGCTGTGCTGAGGGGAGACAGCACCTACACCGGGCAATGCTGGGAAGGATGTCCAGCGCAGGGGTGAGAAGAGGGGTCCTGCAAGGGCATGCACTACAGTGGGAGGGAGGCGGATCCATGTGAGTACACAGAGATGCAGGTAGACTGTCTACACCGCGCACACCCCAATGGCTTGAGCCTTGATTGGTGTGGCCCCCACACTGGTCTGGACCCTGGGGCCTTGTGAGTAAAGAGTTATAGGACAAAGAATCAATGTTTTGCTTCCGTCTACACATATAAAGCCCCTTTTAAACCAGTAAGGTTATATATACGAGCATAATTGAATGAAAGCCTTAGACGCAGATTTAAAAATCCAAAGTATGTTTTAAATTAAAGTTTGTCTCTCAAGTCAACTATTAAAAACAAAAAGATTTTATACGATATGCCTTTTTAATTCTATAGCTTGGAGGAAAAGGAGTTTCTAAACAAAACAGAGATGACAATTTTTTAGATTTAAAAAAGCCTCTGCCTGCAATTAGCTTCAAGCTGAATTTGATGTGATACAAGATAGTGAGAGACTCAGCATACAATGAAAAAGCAATTCAACCTGCTAATGACAGCATTTGAGAAAAACCTCACAAAACAGCAAAATGACTCTGGTCATATACAAACATTAATTTCTAGCTGTGTGTGACAATAACTATTATCAACTGAAGATGATTTCAGAAGCAAACTTCCATGTGCCTGTACAGGCTATTTATATCTTAACTGTGACCTTGTTAAAATCAGGCTGCAAGCAGCAATGTTTTAAGACGAGTTCTTGCTATGTAGATAAAATTGAGTCAATTTTTCAAACAATGTGAAAAATAATAATATAATAATAGCCAAAGATAAACATATCAGCACTGAGAGGGGTGAAATAGTTTAAAGAAAAAAAGCAAATTCTTACACCAAAGCATTAAACAAACTAAAAATGAGACCTTAACTACATATCTATTACGCTGTTTGGACACATTTCCTTTAGATTGCTGAATCGCTGTAGCCGTAGTTCATCAACGCTGGTTCTGTACCTTGAATCTGACATATGGAACGCACAACAAGTAATCAGATTAGGTGACTAATCAGGATGATCAAAAAAGACAGCAGCAGAGTATACCCTCTAGGTCATGCTAACAAAGGCCCCTTTCTTATGGAAAAGGAAAAAATATTTTCATGCATTTATATCTTACAGTTAGCATTTGGAGACACTGATAGATATCACGTTACCAGCAAACTTATTTTTACTATCTACTGTACATTCTTACATTTCTTAAATAATTGCAGTTCATCTCAAGAATGCTTCTATATGGTAATCTTTAGAAGTTTACAAAATGTAACTGAATAATAGTTGCTCAATTTTTAAAAATATTTTTATCTAATTATGTTATAAGACATAGATTAAGACTACCGTAATTCTTTTAAGAATAAGGGTTTAAAATAGCAAAGCAGAGTACTTAATAGCAGTGTCTGAAAAAAAAATCCTGATATATGAACAATTGGCTGAAAGTCAATTGATTACTTAGAAAAATAAAAATAAAGCTTTTTGTATTTACTTCATATGGCTGGAGAGAATTCAATGAGAGTTCCTTACCACCAGTTACAAAGATTTTAGAATCTGTTTCCTGACTGAATCACAAACTTATTTTCTGGATCATCGGATTAACTTGCTTTTAAAATACTAATTTCAGTGTAAAAGCTGCTTACACTTCAATGTGTAGCTCATCAAGATACCTGGAATACAATATGATACAGTACTTTCTTTGGAGGGTATGAAGACTTATTCTCCAAGTCCATTTCTTAACTCATATTCTTTGGTTGATTAATACTGATATTAATATTAAGTGACTATTGTATTACATGAGTATTGGGAGCTGACAAAAATACCCACTGTTAATGTGCCCAGCACTTTATTGCAAAACCTTAATTCCAGTCGCTTGTAACTTTATCAAATTTAAATAATTTATGATAACATTTTCCATGCTGGGATGATTTTTTTGAAATAGTTGTACTGTTTTTGAGAATGGTGAGCTGTTTTTCTTTATATTTATGACTTAGAACTGTTTTTCTGAAAGCTTTATTAGCACCTTCATTCTTTGAAGCAGCAACCTGCATGCCAGCAGGATGATCACTAGGACAAAAACCAGGGATGATCCTACCTTGAGCAGGGGGCTGGTCTAGATGACTTTGTGAGGTCCCTTCCAGCCCTACTTTCCCAAAAAGACAAAGTTACATAAAGGGGGAAGCACAGCACAACAGCAAAAGGGAATAAGATATGTTGTGTCGATAGAAGTAGGATAGTGGGAGAAAATAAGCAAGAAGTGAAACTTGGTAGGGAAA